CCGCCGTAGAAATTCGGCGCGTACATGTGCATGGAGCCACCCTTGCCGCGGGCACAGCCGCCCTGAACGCCCGTCAGCTCGGCCAGAACGCCGCTCGGCGAGACGCCCATCAGGTAGGTCCATCCGTGCACGCGGTATGCCGAGATGATGTTATCCACATCCCGCATGGCCGCCTTCATGCCGACGGCACAGGCCTCCTGGCCGGAATACAGGTGACAGAAGCCACGGATGATCTTCTCCTTGTACAGATTGCCGGCGGCCGTCTCCAGGCGACGGATCGTCTGCATCTGTGTGTAGTACTTGAGGGCCTGGTCCTTGGTCAGTTTGACTTCCGTGGCGGGTCCCTCGTCCAGGCGGTGCAGCTTGAAGGGCTGCGAAATGGGAAAGCATATTATAGTAAGGTGATTTTAGACTTATATCTGCTATTTATTGGGTTTTTTTTGTACATTTTGGTAATATTCTTATTCTTACAAAAAAACCAATGTTTAAAAAAAATATTTTCTAAAGAATTGGGTTTAAAATTAATCACTCATACGCACAGTTGCCTTTGATAAAATATCATAATTTTCATTACAAAGGTGCCTCTGACTAGTTTTTATTTCCTAATTCAATTTATATATTATTTAATTTTAAAAATAAAATAAAATATGCACTAGTCTCAAGTAGAGTTTTAAGTGGCATACGTGTCGTATGAGTAATTTTTAAGATAACTTTAAGATCGTTCTTCCTTTGCAATATATTAAAATAATAAATAAAATGAAATCATGATATTCTATAAGATTTCCTTCTTTTGAAGCCTTAAGAAACTTAGATCTGTAATGATATGATAGTACTTCAGAACAATTTCCTATTTTTATTTTAGATTTTTATTGTAATATGAAATTATTAAGTATTAAAATCTCAAAAAAAAAGTCAGGGGTTTTCGGATATACGGCATCCGATTTCATTTCATAAGATGTCATTTTTTGTAACGCCCCAAGGAAGTAAGATAAGTAATGATATGATAACAGGTCAGACATATTTCCTATTTTTTTGTAAATTTTTATTCTGATATGAAAATCTAGTATTAAAATCCCGATTAAAGTCAGGTGTTTTCGGAAGTACGGCATCCGTAAAATTACCCCAGCTTAGATTTCTGGCCAATTCGGTTTTATGGCACTTGATGGCGGGCTAGGCTAATTTATGGCGTGAGAATCGACGTAAACAGAGAGGCAGGCAGACGGACAGAGAGAGGCGGAAAATCGGGGGATCGGCTGAGGCTGATAAGGCTATATGTTTTATAGTGCGTGAACAGTCACGCGGCGGCCACGCAAAGCGCAGACGGCGATGAAGAGCGTGGGAGACGGAAAGCTACGAATTACTTCGTGACCTTGTCATTTGAAAATGAACATATTGACCGGCAAAATGGAAGCACGCAAATGCAACCCTGCACATTTACACACACACACACACATACTGACAGATCCCCCATTAACCGTTGCTATCTGGCAGAAAGCGCATTATGTAATCCCCCTTTTTTTCGGCTTCTCAGCTATACTACCTATTCACTATAGTATATTTACCCGATTCACTTGAATGGTGGCCTCCGTGGCATAGTTATTGGTCTTTGAGACACCTGCTTGGGCCGCATTCTGGAATAAACCGAAAAACGACGATGAATATCTCCCATTCCCGATGATTTCGTTGTTGTTGTTGTTGTTGCTATATATCCGCCATCCGCTGTTGTTGTTGTTGTTATGGCAACGCTTTTAGTGTTTTCATTTTGCAATGTGGGTTTTTTATTTTTTTTAGATTTTAGTGATAAGTGATAACAATTAAGAAAGTTAGTGGGTGCCAAGCGGGTTTTGGATTACGTACTTTTTGCAGTTGCTTAACAATAATGGGCAATTCGCTAACGCGCGACAGAGTACGCAACATTTTCGCTGTGTTTTTCTCGTTCGACTGACTAAAATCGGTTCTGAATGGGGGCTCCTATATGCGGACTATCCGGATCTGTAATCGCACGCTATATATCGGGTGTTTCAGTCGCACCGCCGCGCGTCGTTGTAAGTTAAACAATCGCAAAAAAAAGGTAGCAAGATTAGTTTATCAACTACTATATTGCACAACTATAGAAACCGTAGAGCGGTCGAGGAAAAATACCGATTTGCCGATTGGTGGGACCGTGCGAAAAATACTAGTATATTGGGGGTGGAGAAACATCGATTCTACGGCTATCGACGTTTCTATATCCCTAACTGCGGAGGGTGTCCTCGCTAAGTCATAGCACGTACACACACCTATCGATTGATTCAAGTTTAATTGAAACAAGGTTGAAAGAAAAGGTCCTGAAGATTCCTTGAAAAATTACTCATACGACACGTATGACAGTTGGTATTTTGTCAAGTTTTGAATTTCAGTTGAACAATTGGTTTAAAAAAGGGGAGCAATGAAAGAAATGTATGACTTAAATCTGCGCCACCTAAACTGAAATAACTTTTTAATCAAAGACAACACTGCGTACGAGTGATAAATTTCAGAGCCACATTTAAAATCTTTTCCCGCCCAAGAAAAAGCCAAGTAATACGCACCCCTGGTTTCAAAGAAGTACTTTTATTTCACATTGAAGATCTCATTTGGTTTTTGCTTGCTTTCTCATTTCTTACTCGTATTGTTACTTGAAATTGCCTCCATAAATCCGCGTTCGCGATCGCAGTCGCTAATTCTGCCTTATATCGCCCTCAACACACATAATTTACTAATCTCTTACAAAAACTTAAGTAATGTTTGTTTCTTGCACAAAAAACCAGTTAAATAGAAATAGACAAAGTAGAATTTAACAGATTAAACGAAATAAAAGGTTTACGAACTAAGTTTTTAAACTAGTTTTTATATTTGTTAGTTTCTCGGTTTTTTTTTTGGTTTTTGGTTTTTTTTTTTTGTATTCAGAAATGGCAGCTAAAATATTTGAGTTTTTGAAGTTACTAACGGAAAATGAGGAAATGGATCAATCGATTGGGAAAAACTAAGGAAACAAATTAATTTTTCACTTTCTTTTCTCTTTTGCCCTTTTACCGTTAATTTTATCGCGCGTTTTTCTGGTTTTCGGTTTTCCGTTACATCAAAAATTGGTTTCTCACACAAATATTTTGCATTATGACAAAAAATTATGCTCTTTTATCCTTTTTTTATATGTATACATATATATATATTTGTATATATAAACACTTATTAGAAGTTATCGTGTGTGTTTCTTGTGTTTTCTTTCCCGTTAGAAATTCGCCATTCCGATTTTTTTGGAAAAAAAATTACGCTTTTCTCGTCTTCTTCTTTTTGTTTTTGTGAGTGTTGTGTGTTTTTGTGAGTGTGGGTGAGAGAGAGGAGGTCGTATCTTACCGTTAGCATAAATAGTTTTGTGTGGTCTACGCAAAAACGTGCTGAGCAATAATAATCTAAAACGCAATAGCCAAAAGGGGAAAGAGAGAGAGGTGCTGTGTGTGTGTGTGTGTGTGAAAAGTAACGGTAAATGGACGTCCGTGTCCTTTCGTTTGCGAGTGTGTGTGTATGTGAGTGCTGCATATGTAAATGTCTTCTGTTGTTGTGTTTGTTGTTGTTAGGAAATTACGTATTAAGCTTCAATTTTTGTTTTTTAGTAGGTTTTACTTAAGTTCTTGCTTATTTTACACCAATGTTTACTTTATTTTGTATTTCTTGCATGAATATATATATTTATTTTTGGTTTCCACGTTTCTTATTACTGTTCGCTTTCATTCCTTTAAATTTCATTTATTTTAAATCCTTACTGTTTGTTCTTCTGTTTATCTGCATAACATAAGTCCGACTCGAAGAAACACATAGCACACATTTATATAAACGACAAGATGATAAATATATTTTCCTTCGGTTGTTCTTATTCTTGGTTTTTGTCTTTTGTTTTTGCTTTCTTTGCATTTGCATTTTCTTTCGGCTTTCTCCGCTTTTTTTTTGGCATTTTTATTTGTTATATTGCTGCTTGCAGTTTCTACAAAAATTTTTGTTGCATACTTTGCTGCGCCGCCCAAAAAAACTCTCCATAAAATTCTCCACAAACATATACACATACACACATAATATTCGATTTGCTTGTAATTTGTTGTATTTTCTTGTTTCATATTGTTCTTGGAAAAGTCCAGGGAAAGCAAAAAGGAGATTTGGCTAGAAAATAACGGATAGAAAGGAGTAAATCGGCGAAAAAAGGAGGCCTTTTGGGGCGATTTGCTTTACACGTAAGCAATGAATAAAACATTGCTTAAGTACACACAACGAAAAAGAAGTTAATCATTTTAAAATAATCTCTTATTAAAAACCTTAACTTATCAGGAAAAAAAAATTCTCTGTTTATCATATCTAATTTATTTCCAATTTGTTCCTATCCTGAAAAAAATAATTTGTTTTAAAACAAATTTTAAAGTAATTTCCATATAATAGAAGCACCTATTGAGTTATAACAAATATTAATTTGGAAACAAGAAAATATTTGAAATATTTAAAAGCTAAAAAGCGTCATTTCGTAATTTTTTAATAATTAAAAAATATTATATCTTCCAAAATACAGAATATGGTAAGAAAAATACAATTTGAATGGGGAAAGCATATGCCAAATTCATGATATTTTTCTCTGTGTATCTATTAGGTGTGCAGAGAGTGTCTGTGAGCGTGTTAGTGTGTGTGTGTGCATGGTGTGTATGCAAATTTCACATTATACTATTTTTTTCTTATTTTTTCTGCTTGGTTTCCGTTTACAAGTGTTGAGAGGAGAGTTCAATACACATAAATAATCCATCGGACAGAAAAATATGTGAGTTTTCCTTACAATTTTCTTTTTTAATTCTTTTCTTACTTTGCTCGTTCGGTTGTAGTGGTGGTTGTTGCCTGTGCTATGTGTACGTGTGTGTGTGTGTGTGTGTGGTTCTTGCCTCTGCTGAGCTCCAACGAATTTGAAATAAAATCATAAAAACTATACAAATAAATACAACACATGGTTTTTGGTTAATTTCTAGTTAACAATTGTTTAATTACGCATTTGCAGGTTTTATAAATAAATTATAAGGCCAAACAAAGCGCCAGCACATCATACATTTGTAGCCAAAAAAAAAAAAAATTAAAGAAAGAAAAATGAGAAATTTCAACAGAAGTTAGAATCATGGGGCGCGAATGCAATCCAAATGACCAATTCTTAAAGGTTTGGGATGGGGAAATGGTGATTTCAAAACTAAACAGCGTTGGTTCATGCTTGTCTACAATTTCTTTTCTTCGAGTGTATAATTGTGTGGACATAATAATCGCTCTTTTTTTATGATTTTCGCCGCCTTTCGAGTTTTCCAGAGCGGCATATAATGATGTAAGGAATACCACCAACAAATAGGTATTTCTTGCATTCGATAGACAAGCTAAAATGGTGCGTGCGCGTATCTTCTTTATTTGAGGGGAGGGAATCGAAAGATATCGTCTACGGATCTAGTTGACATCATCTTTATGTTTTTGGGGGGAAGCAGTTGGTGGTGGCTCCTGATCCTCCTGATTTTCCTCCAGTTCGGCGCGACGACAACTACTGCAGCTGGTGGCATCGCTGTCTTCTACGATGGTGCCATCCTCATCCTCATCCTCGTCGCCGCTGCCGCCGCCACCTTCTGCTTCCTGGTCATTCTCCCCATCCAAATCCGTTTCAGTTTCGTCTACATCTTGATCGTCAGTTAGTTCCATATCCGAATCTTCCGTGTGTTGTTGGTCTTTTTCTTTCAGCTCCTCTTCTGGCTTATCGGTCATCATTTCCGCATCCTTGAGATGTTCTTGTTGTGGTTGTTCTTGTTTTTGTTGGTGCTGTGTTGTTTGCTGTTGTTGTTGGTTATGTGGTTGTTGCTGTTTCTGCTCTAGATCCTCGTCCTCTGATGCCCCGAAATGCGACTGCTGCTGCTGCTGCTGCTGCTGCATCTCCATCAGCCTCCTCACCACCACTTCATCCGACTCGACAATACTTTAACCGCTCTTAAACAATAAAATGGCCACCTGGCCCAAATAGAAATAGATGAAGTGGCGCGTCTCGTGGGTGACATACGATCCAAAGTTGCGGCCCACAATGCAATGCCATGTGGGATTGTATTTTTTGTCGAACTCCTTCTTGATGTAGGCCGCAATGTCCTGAAATTGCAAAACGAAAGTGCACATTAGTTGTTGTTAATACTTTTCAATTGATTTCAATTATTAAATTCCCTTTTTTTCCCAACTTTCCCATCCAATATTGAAGAGGAATTCAATTTCGCAGAGTATCTAAGCACACTTTTCCCCTGTGCAGCTGCCAATTGTCGAACAAGTTAACGCCACATTCCATAAAGCTGTCAAAAATGCAATCGCAAGAAGAGAACTCAACTGGGAGGCGAGCAAAAAAGTGCCCATAAGCAATAAGCAAGTCAAAACAGGCGAAAACAAATGCCTAAGTGGCTGCTAACTGTTTCGAAATTAGCGGCAAGCGAGCGGCAAACGGCAAACTCAATAAAATGGCAAACGAAAAACTCATTTTCCACCCAGACCTCCCAACTCCCCCACCCAACCCACAATTTTCCAGGGGGTCTGTCACTGGGGTAACCCAAAATGTGACCTCAAAAACGGAGAACGGAGTAGTGTGTGTGTTGTTTTGGGGTAAAAGTTTTTGTGCTAATGAGTTAGTTATGATTGTTGTTGTTATTCGCATTAAGCAATTTGCTGGAAATTAAAGGCCAGTTCTTGAGGCAAAGGCTAATTATGTATTATGCATGTTGGCACTAAAGAAACCGCAAAGTGAATGTGGCCAAGATGGGGAAAATTAGGCAGAAGTGGGTAAGAAAGGGTTGAACAGGGTAAACAGAACCAAAGAAGGGGTGAAAAAAGGCTCAAAATCAAGTGCTAAAACGTTGCAAAATGTGGGGTATAGGGCATAGAGTATAAAATACTAGAAGCACTGCGTTTGTTCCTCGTTGGAAAGCCATGCAGTTTAGTGTGACAAATGTCAAAGGTCATTGTCAGTCGTTTTGGCGGCTAAATCCAGGGTTACGCCAACAGACACACACATTCGCAGGCACACGCAGCAGCCAACACAACCCGCATATCTCTATAAAGATTTCTATATATATATATTTGTAGTGAAAACACAATGGAGGTCAGATAAATATGAAACATAACCTTCGCCGGAATATATAGCCTAGTTTGGGGAGCCCAAAAAAGGATCTTTCAAACTAAACACGAAATAAATATATTTTAAGGGGGTTCATCATTATAAAATACAAATATTTCTATTTTAACCATACAAAATTAACTAAATTTCCTTTGCCACTATTATATTCTTGTCCAATTATCATGTTTTCCAACATCTGTGGCAAAAACGCAAAGAATGCAAAAAGCAGATGGGGAATGTTTAGCTTAATAAAAGCAGAAAAAAAAGAACAGAATGGGAAAAATAAAATTGTTCTGCTCCGAAAGTTCAGGCAATCTGAAAGTTTTGCTTTTGCCATACTTTTGGGCGCCACACTTGGAGTTGATTTCATTTAGTCATGGGTGGGGGGGTCAAAAAACGGGGATGGGATTGGGGGGCTTAGCGCAGGTGGGTCCACCGTTATTGCAGGGGAATGCGTGCAAAGTCATAAACTTAACCCGGTAACCTCAAAACAAAAACTGAGAAAATAACGAGCCAATAATAAAACAAACAGGACAAGCGAAGAAAGGAGAGAGCCTCAAAGAAAACTAAAAAAAATAGATTAAAACAAAACAAGAAAGGAAAAACAATATAAAGCTGATTTAGTTGAGTGCCATTATCCTTCTTTTTTTTGGCCATCCTTCAATCAAAGTTGTCGTCATCATTGTCGTATTATACAGTCATACTTGGGTAAGTTAAACGCCACTATTATTTAATATTTACTTTAATATTAGTATTAAATCAATATCATTCTATACTTTGTTATACTTTAGTAGAAAGTAATAACATACTGGTAATTTGAAAGATTGGTACCATTATAAATCACAGATTTATAAGAACTTTTTAAAAAAATATATATATTATTACCATCTTAAATGGAGAAACTTGTTGCATGATTTTACAATCTTATAAAACCAATTTTTTTAAATCTTTTTTTTTGGGTTATAGATGTTTTTTCTATAGAAGCTCGACTGTAAAGGAATCCTTTAGCGATCATTAAGTCATTCCAGCCGTTCTTTATTTTCTATGGAGTTTCCTTTTGGGCCTTTCTTTTAGACATGCTTTGTTTTCCATTTTCCATTTACTTTTTTTGTTTTCAGCCTATTGCGTGTATATTTTCGTGTCGTGTCAGACGACAATATAAAGTTGATTGTTTTATATTCAATTTGGTTTGGGGTGAGGCCGCTTTTGCAACCGCCCCCTAGCAATGCCATGGAATTTTGTTTTGGCAACGCCAAAAAGTACAAAATGAACATTCTGACACACACACACACATACATTAAAGTGGCAACAGGGGGTTAAAAGTCGGTGGGTGTTACCATCAAGTGGGTTGTTCTTGTTTGTGCCACTCTATATATATATATATATCATATATATATTATAACATATGTAGCCTAATGAAATCGACATTGCAATTTTGGTCATATAATTTGCAATGCTTTTAGGAAAGGTAACTCACACAATTTGTCAGAAGTGATTGCGAGCTGCCTTCGAAATAATAAAGGAATTTCTTAACATTTGATTGACATAAAGGGAATTCGTATTTGTATTTATTTATTTGGGAATGAAGAGGTTTCTGGTAAAGGTTAACTCTATAGGGCTTAGTAATTATGTGATAAGGAATTATTTTCCATTTTTTCACTCTCTATACCAAAATAAACTTTTCTTTCCACCTTTAAAGTGCGCTTAAATCAAAGACTGCAACTACTCGAAAAGAAAACAAAGGGGAAAAACTAAAAACACTTCATTTAATTTATGCAAGAAACAACAGGATAATTCCCAGTCCATTTAGACCACACCTGGAAAATATCCCCAGGATTCTGAGCCCCAACAAATATGCCAGGACACGTTTGAAGGAATGGATAAAAACGGCAGGAGGCAGGCGGCAAACGGAAAACGGAAAAACTCCGCATTCGATGAATGTGTGTCAATAAAAATGAATGCATGTGCATGTGTGTATGCTTTTTACACATACAGACACACACACACACTCTATATATTTACATACAAATATTCGTCTGCTGCCCGCATATTGATTAAACATTTTTGGCCACGCAAAAAATCACAAATAAACGCCATAAAAAATAATAATAAAAATGCATAAACTTCCCGCAGCGATTGAATGCAAAAATGTTTGTCTCCTCGTTTTAATATCAGTTTGTTTTTTATATTGTTTGTTTGCTCACAGGGTTCTGCCTTTTGTGCGACACAAGAAAACTATCGAGAAAAAAAGGATATTATATTGAAAGCATTTTAACAGCGTATAGAGCCATTGAAATGCAAACAAAACGCAAGGAAAAACTAATTAAATTCATTTATCCGAGTGTCATTACCAAATTTTCCCATTTTTAAACACTAGCCTTCCATCAAAGTTGTCTTATTTTCAACGCTCGTATAATCATTACTTTATCTTTCTCATTGTCTCCCTTTTTATAAAATACTACCGAGTTAAGTAAACTATCAGACATATTTTAAAACACTACATTTCTACTTCCACTTTGAATTGTATCGGCTAATAGAATAAACCTTAATTTAACTAAAAAATTGTAAAAGCAATTAATTTCCATTTGAAACTGTTTTCAAAACTAATTGAATTTATAAAAAAAAACAAAAACTTAAAGCCAAAAAATAATTGAATTGGAAATTTATATTCTGCTGCTGCTGCTGCTTTTTTCCCTCTTCCATTTTATTTTTTGGCCCTCTTGTTGGCTTATTTAGGGCTTTGCCTTTAAATCGCGGCTCACACAGACAGGCGTGCACACACACACACACACATACAGATACAAAAATACATAGAAATACTGGGGGCAACATAATGCCTATGGATACGATTTAAGCTGGTTGAAAGGTTGCGCGCCCCTAAAAATATATACACAAGGTACAACACACCAAGTGGGTCGAGCTTAACCCTTGTGTGCCCCCAGGGGGTGACCTGTACCCCACCACCACCCCACCACTCTTTTCAGTAGTATTAGTTGCGTATCTAATGGATACCAAAAATTGTTTTTTGCCCCCCTTTTCGCTTTTGTGTCGCTCTGATTGGAATTTTGAACTTATAATCAGCCAGGAAATAGGGAAAACCTAAAGAATTTACCAGGTCATTTATTGATTCGAATATCGAAACTATTGGCAAAACAAGCTTGCATTCTAATCCAATCAAAACAATCCCAAAATGGCCCGCAGCATCTTCTAAAGGTTAAAGTTCGCTTTCTTTTGCTTTTTCCACCCCTCCACAATTTTATTCTATTTTTATTATTCATTTTTTTCCATTAGACGGCGGCAATTTTTCAATTTTCATCTAAGCAATTAAATTTCTGTTTTTGCCTCACAGCTAACCAAAACCAAAAAAAAAAACAAAAATCCATATTTAATTACCTACAAAAAACACACACACACAGTGAGAAATAATGGCCAACTTATTATTATGCAATAAGCAGGGGGAAGAGGAAGAGGAAGGGGAAGCGGGAGAGACAGAGAAAGGAAGAGTAAAGACAAAAAGGCAATCAATCGTGCGGCATATATTTTATTTATAGCAACAAGAGGTAGGCTCGAAATGGGTGGTTCAGGTGTTTTTGCATTGGATGTGGGCGTTACATGCCACCCGCCTCCCCCAAAAGTCTCCCGATATTTTCCATACCCCTCTCACCACAATGACAAACATTCAGGAAGAGTGTGCGAGTAAAAGCAAAATGTGTGGCATACTTTTAGGGGCCAGGGATCCTGGAATACAGTGTAATACCATTATACCCCAACATTTCCAAAAAAAAAAAAATCATTTTTATCATTTTCATCAAAAACAAATAAACTTCACAACTAGATATGAAATATTAATCTTGACATTTTTAATTTTTATTTGATTTAATATGATTTAGATATGATAATAATAATAATATTTTAATAACATTTTTGAAAATAGCTCAAAGCAAGTTCTTCTTGTGAACATTTTGTTCTAGGAAACCCTAGTGTTTTTTAGTTAATATCCACTGTATACGCACATTTCTCTTTTACTGCTCAATTAGCAAAATCTTTCTCTCTGGGTTTTCCCCACTCCGCCGTATTTCCAATTTTCCCCTAGCCTTTTATCCACTTCCGCTGTGATTTCAAGTTTACTTTGCTTTGCTTTGCTTTCAAGGCCCGCGCGCGCTTTGCTTTTCCCATCATCTCATTTTCCATTTTCATTTTCCCTGCGTCTCAGAATCGCAGTCTCAGTCTCAGTCTCACAGTCTCAGTCGCAGTCTCAGTGTGTTGTCTTCTGCCATTGGCATTGACAAAGGCCCGCTAGTTGATGGCAATCCCCCGCAGCTTTCTTTCCCACCCACCCGCTTTTCCTCCTTCGGCCTTTCCTTCCTTTCCCGCCCACTTTCCGCCAGCCATATTTTTCACTGACCTCAGTCAGGGTCCGCACTTTGACCAGCGCATACACGCAAAACAAAAAAAATACTGTTGAATTATATTGCTTTTTAAAATCACTTTAAAAGTAAAAAAAAATAGGTGTCAAAAAGTATGCAACAATATGTGTTTAAACCAAAAGTGATTAAATTCATACATTTAGAACAATTTGTTTTAACTTTTACAGTAATTTTAAATTATATGTTTTGTCATATTTTGTACTTAATAAATATTTAATCTAATAACTTAAAACTAATTCCTTTTTAAACTAGTTCTAGACTTTTTTGTACGGTTATACATATGTTTTTTTTTGCCCCCAATGCATTTTCTCCTGTGTACGTAAGTAGTGTGTGTGCCTGGCAGTTCTCCTTCAATCGCAATCCAATGCCCCCCCGTACATCTATTGATTATTCAATTTCTTCGACTTTGTTGACATTGCTGGCTGATTTTGTTTGTCTTCTTTTCTTTTTTTTCGCTTTGTTATTGTTATTGTTACTGTTGTTCTTTGCATTCGCAGCCGACTAAATCAAGAGCTTATTTTAGTTGTTGTTTCGCCCCAACATTGGACATTGTTAATGATGGTCAGTCCTCCGCCGATTTTCCACACCACCACTTCTCACCTCCCACATCCTCTGGGAAAATCTCTTTAAGTCAGGGCTACTTTACTACTTTCACCGAAGGTTAGACGACACGGAAAATTACCGCTCAGAATCGCATGGTTTTCCTTTTAAAAATTTTAATACTTTTTGCAGTATTACATTTACATTTAATTGAACTATTTATATATATTTTAATCCCTAATAATGGAAAAAATTTGTTTTCCAAATTATAAACCGTTAATGGAAAAGCTTTGGCCTTTGCCAGAAAATGCAGCTGAATGATGATAAGGGCAAAGGTTAAGGGTGATAAAATTACAAAAATTCCGGGAAAATGCAGGCAAATATTGCACATTGTTTGCGAAAGGAGTTTTCCACCCCGGAGTGAGCCAGCCAGGCAAAAAGGAAAACTGCGACGCAGTTCTGCGGGCGTAGGACGCCGATGGTGGAAATGCAAGTGGAAGGGGAAATGGAAAAGTGGGCGAGGCGGCGTTGGGATTGAACGGAAGTGTGCGGGAAAAACCCAAAGGCTGCACCGCAAAATTGTGAAATTGCCAAACGCAGTTCAAACCACAAGTTTACAGAGAGAGTGGGCGGTTGTTATGGGTTTTATGTTTCTACTGCCCGAGAGATGCAACAATGTCCGAACCGAGGGAAAACTCCTGGAAAAGCAAATTGTACGCATGTGTGTGTGTGTTTGTGTGTTTGCTCGCTTGTGCGAGTAAATCCAATTTAATTACAGATTTTGTCCGAAATAATAATCCTGCCTGCTGCCCGACTCTTATTTCTAATAACCTTGTTTGCAAAACACTAAAATCTAGCCTTTAATTTCCGTCGGTTTTGCCAGAGAGAGAGAGTTCCGTATTTATCTAATTAATTCTGCATGTAAAACAATACTCCGAACCAAGGAGAAGCCACCTAATCATTTCTGTTTAATTACAAAGTTTGTTTGAGTCAAATTGAAACCGTACAAACTAAAATTGTGCATATTCTGTTGATTAATTAGTGGACCAACAACAGAACAGAACAGGTGAACTTAATATGGTATTTTAAAATCATTTTACAGCATTTTCCCTAGCATTCAATGCAATACGATTTGGTGTTCCAATGCCACCCACTAAAAAACACCTGTTGTCCCTGCCTATTCTCTTTTCCTAACCCTTTTTTCATCCCCTAAACAAGGGGCACGATTTATATGTGTTTATTTTTATAACTGGAATGAGATCTATTGACACCCAATCTAATGATTTATTTTAACAAATAACACTGAAGGTTTTGCTATCGTAATAATAATAATATTCTTTGAAAATTCTATTAAATTCCATTAAATCTTTGATTTTATTGAGATGATAAGCCTTTTATTTATGTCAACAAAATCTTAATTAATCATTTAAAATATTATTATTAGTTAAAAGCCTATTTTACATTTAAGGTTGGGACGAAAAAAGGTCCTAAAAATTCTAACTTAAATCTAGACTAATAATAGACCCCAAAAATCTTAAATTATATTTTCTAGCTTACCTTCTCAATGTTGTACTTCTCGAGGGCCTGTGTCGCACAATCGACGGCATCCTGCTGCATCTCCTCGCTCATGTCGGCATTTTTAATCACTGCTTTGCGATCAGACATTTTGGCTGATTTTTTTTACTCTGTGTTCTTGTCTTTACAACTTCACTCGGATCCAATTGTTTTGAAAATGGCGCTTTTTTTGTTTAGCTGCTTGACTTCTGTAACTGTAACGAGAGAGAGATGGGAGAAAGAGAGAGATGAGCAACGCCACTGAGGGGAGGCGAGCGCATCGTGAAATATTATTAGCATTTTCTTCAATTAAAGAGCGGATTTTAATCAAGTTAGCTCCCACACACATACATACACCGAAAAATAAATCCAATACTTATATACAATTTTCATATAATTGTGCGAGCCTACCTACAAGACGTTTTTTAGTATTTTAATATTTAATATTTGATCTTCCTACTGATAGATATTAGATAGGGACATTTTTTGAAATTTTTTTTTAATATAACAAGTAGTTAAAATTTTAGTTGTTATCCTAACACCCTCGCAATACTCATTATATTACTATCTGGTAATTAGTCCATCGCGAAAGTACCAGTTTTCATTCAATACTTTTTGAAACAATAAGTATTTTAGTAAAATGATTAAAATATTTGATGCAGTTATAGCCCCCTTTATTCTATCTGTGTACGATTTATTAACGCAGGCGCATTGCATACTTTTTCGGGACAGTTTCCACAGCACAAGCCTGGCAATTTAATTAAAGAAACACAAGCAATACAAGCGGCAATATTACAAATCAAATATCAGAGCCACAGGACGACATATTACCACACACACTGGCGCAGTCGGAGAGGCATTCGCACGCATACCAATGGCAATTAACAGGCAATATGCATATGCAGCGTGCATTTAAATGGCCGAGAGCGAGCGAGATGGCAGCACAGGCAGTGCAATGCAACATGGCCTTGAGCAGATGCTCTCTCACACAGCCACACACGCATGGCCATGACAGAGAGGCTGCTTCTGCCGCTGCTGTGAAAAAACCAACAACAACTAATTCAAATTCAAGGCTCACACACATTTACACACATGCATAGCGATATCCCATTGCAATTGCTCTTTTTTCGTAGCATACTTTTGCGAGCAGTGGCATTGCTTATTAGTTGCGGAAAGCATAGGAAAAGCAAAGCAAACAGCACAAAATACCAGTGTGTAGAGCTCACTAAGTGCGCTTGGTATTTTGCAATTGCAACCTCAAAATCAGCGAGCGGAAAATGTGGGAGGTGCTGGGTGGAGTGGGTGGCAAGGTGGTAAAGCAACCGCAACCAAATTTAGTCGCTAGGTTACCCGGCTCTTTGTACTGACACACTCGCACTATCCAATATATTCCCGCTCATTTACTGACAACGCCAACACACCAAAGTTAAAGCGACCAGCAAAGTCCGACATCACAAGCTAATAACGAAAAATATCTCCCCTTTGGGTAAACAAATTTGCAAGTACAGTCGGTATTCCCTAGAAGGAATATTAAAAATAATAATAAAAAATATAATTTTTTTAAGATTTCTAAATTTTCTAGATTACTCTAACTCGTTTTTCGAGTGCCTATCTGACTTCTGATAAACCCCTTGTTTATTTACACAACTAACAACCATTATCAGACTCACTTTCTTAGATATGGTAAAAGTGTTATAAACGATAAACAGAGTCTGAGGTAGTTTAACTTGCAATGTGCTACCTCTCCGATTTCAGCGGATCCTTCCTTCAGGAACAGATGGACGGGATTAATTTCCGATTAACTCGATATTTTTGTACGCTTATTTTCAGTCCTGGAACGACTTTTCCCCTCAAGCAGAAGCAATTTGTCGACGACTGAAATTTCAAATTTGTTTCGATTTAGCAGGTTCGTTCGTGTTTTTGACGTTTGACAGTAAAGTGCAGGGCAGACAAATCATAACGGTAAAGGAGGCGGAAGAGGGAGATGGAGACAACCGAGAGTTGACAGGTGGCCAAAGGCAATGGAGTGAGAGGGACGGCACGTGTGTATGTGTATGGATGCTACATCTACAGCTTCCTGCTCTTCTGATGAAGTCAATTAGAAAACTGCATTGACAGTTAAGCGCAGAAAGAGAGAGAGGGCGAGAGGGAGAGGGAAGACAGGAAGCGGAAGAGAGCACAAGTTGTATATTTATGAGCAAGGGAAGAAGCGCGAAACTGTGCTTGTTTTATTTTCATTCTGTGCAGTGTTCCCCAGCGGGAACATTCCTCTGGAAAATAACATATTTTCAAGAGGTTTCTCCATACAAGCGGAAGGGACAAAACCTCATTCACCCCTTACATTTCTTCCGTCTCTGGTTTCAAAATACACGGGGGTGACACAAAAAGTAAGGGGGAAATGAGGTTTCTATGTGGTTTTCCAAGGGAATTTACATTTTCCCTACACCGTCGCCTGCTGAAAGAAACAGGATTTCCAACACTTTCTGCTAAAAGGAACAGGATTTTCAGCACACAAAGAACCACCTTCTCACTTTCCCGGTGGGTCGCCACACACACAGGCACACAGACTCTGACATGAAATGAAATTATAAATGACAGGCTGACAGCGAAAAGAGAGAGGCGAGAGAGGGAGACGGGAAGAGTGGACATGGACCGGGTCCTGCACCTGCAAGTATGCAACGCTTTTTGCTGGCCATCCCGCACACACACATGCCTGTGCACACGCAGGGTAATTGAATTTCCCGTTTGCAATTGGAAACCCGCGAATTTTCAATGCAGGACTCTCCTCTAATTAGGAACAAGGCACCTGAAACCCGCGACAGCTGATCAATCATTAGCTGGAAAGTTCGCGAAAAATGAAGCGGAAACGAACGAAACCCGAAACCGCTGGCCAAAATTTTCGCCCATTACCTGCGTTCCTATGCATAATTAAAATGACGTCAACCCGAAAACTTGATTTCACCGTAGCTCCAAAAAAACACAGAAGAAAAAACACGGCATATGCCCTGTATTCTCCCACATACTTTTGCGCCATGGGAACTGTTCGCACTATTAAAATTGCACAACGTTGCATTTTGAATTCCGCATTCAAGAACATTCACATTCACACGGCATTTTCGCCTTTTGTTCGCCACTTATCTATTTTCTATTACTTACCTTTGATTCTCGCCGATTGCGCGCGATTTTTTCACTTGGAGTTCAACAGCTGTCACCGAAATTGTTCTAATGAAACAAGACTCGTCTCGAACTTAAAAAAAATGCCAGTGGCAGGAGAAAAAAAAACAGTGCGTGCCTCTTGTTTTTCTTTTTTGTTAGCAATTTTGCACGCAATACAAATTTAGCACGCCGCGGCTTTTTGCACTTTTTCCTCTTCTCCTCTTCGTTCTTCTTCCTCTTCTTCGAACAGGGAACGTGAAAAAAGGCGATCTGAGTTTTTGACACCGGGAAACAGTAACAAAAAAGTGCCCCCACTTGCGAGGGTGTGTGGGTGTTTGGTGCCCACGGCTTGTGTTCGGGCTTTACCGCTAAGAAGGCGCCTGGACTCACTGGAAGTGGTGGAGCTCGCAGCTGGGGCTACTGAGCGGATTGGAACTGAGAGGTTTGCTGGCTGGTGATAAACTAAGCACAGGCGGGCGGGCGAGCGCCTCGGTTTCGGGCTCCGATTTCGGTCTATCGGGCGACGGGCGCCGACATGCGAGTCGCTCGCCGCGCTGATTGGCCGGCGACGGGCGGCGTCTGGCAGGCCGCGTCTGGCGGGCGGCTTCTGGCGGCAGTGATGGCGGTTATCGGTGTTTCGCCAGGTGGGTAGTGCTGTCAGTGGGCGGTTTTTGTTGGTGGCAGGGATGCAGGCTATTAACTACCGGAGGAAAGTAGCAAATGACTGGAGTTGAGCCCTGAAAAGCATGGTTTTTCGGCAGAATCCCCCACTCGATAGTCCACACTCGGTATTCGATAGGCAGCCCGGCATCACTGGCCGCAGAGTTGCCAACCGATGAAAACAGCTGGGCAGTGGGGTGCTATCGATTTTGATATTCTTATGGATTATTAATAAAAACGGTAAAATCTTTAAATATTTGTAAGAAAAGACTTGAATATAATTTTAATATAATAATTTTTTAATATTTTTTTAGGTTTGGTTACCAGTGTTGTATAAGAAATTCCCAAAACCTGTGATGTTTTTATATTCTTTAAAGCCGCATGGTTAAAAAAAGCTTTTTCTTTAAATTATCGTTAAAAAATTGATTTTTTAAGGTAAACCTCCTCACCCGATATCGATTATTTTATTATTTTATTCACATTTATTCGATAAAGTGGTTGATTTGATTCCAAAAAGATCGACATAGCTGCTTGCGATAAAAACAAATCAGCTGAGCGGGCTTAAATTAAAGAAACCATTAATTTGTGTTGAATTTTTAAACGGCTGTAATAAGCATAATTTTTCAAACCAAAAATATGTTTCCTTTTATTTGGTTTTAATTGTTATTGAGGAAATTCCATTCAAAAAATGGGGAACATAAAAAGTCTTTAAAAGTGCGAAGTACTTTTAGGGCAAGATTGTATTAATTTTATAGAGTGGTCCAACAGACCCACTTTTTTGGGTTCCTTAATATATTACCAGAAAAAAGTATCGCAAAAAACTAAAAGTAGCAGTTTTGAACAGTTTTTTCCAACAAATCTGTATTTTCACCAACGTTGACGTAATCCAGCAATAACCCTAATCAGGACGCCAAAATAAATGGAACTACGTCCTAATTTAAAATGCTCGGTAACTGCTCTAAATATTTTCAAAACCTAGCTTAGTACAAAAATATTTGTTCCCAAAACTTCCCGAACATCAATCGATTACAACCATCGCAGCCATCGATTAGTCCGCTCCCCACCCACGAGCTATCGTGGTATTTCCGCCTACTTTCACAACGGTCACACGCTTTCTATTTGATTTTTTTTCAACACAATTTTTGTTAAACAATTTACCGTGAATTTTGTTGTTGTGTGTGTGGATGTGTACGTGCTAGCAACCAAAAAAGGGAAAGAAAAGGGGAAAAGTGCGCAAGTGCTGGGCGAACAAGCGGAGAAACAACGGCAGAAAATGCTGGCAAACAACAAATCATCAAGGTGAAACCGCGCGCCCTGGCATTGAGTCTTCTTCGTCTTCGTCGCAACGGGGGCGCAATCTGCCCCGTGCAATCCAGAGACCACAGGACCCGTACTCCCCACTCGAAACAAGGGAAAATTCATCAGTTTTGGCGGCCAATTGCAAACACAAAATACTAAATACGCTAGATGGAGCACTCACACACACGGGCACAGTGGCGAACGTAAATACACAACACAAACAGACACGGGCGTCACGATAGTCGTCTCGCTTGCTCTGCCTGTGAGCGCCGGGTCGGCCAGAGCGAGACAGAGAGCCAAATCGCCTTTTCTTGTACTTTATATATATATGGTTTTTATTGTTTTTTTGTGCTGCTCCCGTACGTGTGTGTGAGAGTGCCAAATGTCATCGGAAATTACAACACTGCGTGACTAGGAGGAAGAAGAGGAAGCAGGAGCGGCACCAGCGCAACGGCAACATAAACAAAAACAAAAGCACAGCGGAGGAGCAACAAATAACCGAGCGAAGATGTTGCCCGCCAATAATAATAGGAGTAGCAGCAGCCATGCGACCACAACCACTACCAATACCAACAGATGCCTCATCAAGTCGGCCATTGAAAGAACGGTAGTTCGGCTGAAGGAGACGGCCGCCACGTTTAGCGGTACCTTCCAGGATGCGGAGGCGGATGAACAGCCGTGCCTGGAATACGATATTATCAACTACTACGCGGATAACAAGCAGCAGCAGTTGTCCTCTTCTCGCCACGGCGGCGGCAGCAGCAACAATAACAATAACAGTGGGTGCCATCCAGCACTGGATGCCAGCAGCAGTAGTGTTGTTGTTGTTGTGGCGCCGGCAGCGGGAAGAGAACAGGAACTGGAAGGGGAGAGGGAAGTTCCCGTCCTGGAAGTAGCAGCGGCAGAGGAGTCGGAGGAAATGGAGGTGGATGTGGAGGGGGGATCACCAGCGAAGCCTTTAAACCCAAAGAAACAGGAACATCGCTTTCGGGGCGGCGGTGGAGCGGCACAAAGTCGTTTGCGCCGCTCGGCGGCCGTCGTTCCAGCGCGATCACTTCCAGAGAGCAGTTGTTCCAGCAGCAGTTCCAGCAGCAGCAGCAGCAATTCCAACTCCAGTTCCAGTGCTTCCACCTCCAATTCCAACTCCCATTCCAATCCCTCCCCGTGCTCCTCCCTGGGCGTCAATATGCGCGTAACGGGACAATGCAGCCAGGGCGGTCGGAAATACATGGAAGATCAGTTCTCGGTGGCCTATCAAGAGTCGCCGATCACCCACGAACTGGAATATGCATTTTTCGGCATATACGACGGCCACGGCGGCCCCGAAGCCGCCTTCTTCGCCAAGGAACACCTCATGCTCGAGATTGTCAAGCGGAAGCAGTTCTGGTCGGATCGGGATGAGGATGTCCTAACGGCCATACGCGAGGGCTATATCGCCACACATTTCGCCATGTGGCGGGAGCAAGGTGAGTAAAGATTCCTATTATATTTTCAAAAGTTTAAAAAATTTGTACCTAAGCCCGCGCTTCAGATTTAATAACTGCCATTTGGTGGGTAAATCCCCGTTATCAGGGTTGCCATTTCATCCCCCCACAAACAAATGACCCCAAATCCCCAGCAGCTCCCCTGGGTCTCCCATCTCTAGGTAATTATGCAACCGTGTGTGCGGCGGCGGTGACTCAACCATCGTTCAATCGCTCATCTCTATGCTCAGCCCACACCGAAAAAAGATACAGATACACACACAGACACACTTATCGCCAGTGGAATATTCCACGGGCTTGCCATATGGCTGTACTCTCGCCAAGCATGGCAACCCCGCTGTGAGTTAGAGCGGTGCCACTATATGGTGGCGCGAACTCTCGAAGGCGTTTCGAAATGCGAGAAAGAGGGAGACAGAGAGGGTGAGCGAGAGAGAGGTTGGATAGAGAAAATAAATGTGTGCCCATTTCCTCTTCACATAACAAAAACAAAGTACACAGAAATCCAAGGGATGCCAGAAACGCGGATACATGTGTGTATCTGTGTGCGCTTAGTGGGGGAAAACATCAATATTTGATGATGTTTTGATATTCCTGCATATCCATTTTACCGCCAAAATTCCAAGGTCCTTCGAAAATACCTGTTTTCACGATATGATGTTTCTTTTGAAAAATCTTTAATCTTATTATTAAATCTTTTAGCGGGAATTGTCATGGTGACACAGATATTTTTGTTTTCATTTTAAAAATACATTTTGCTTGTTTAGGAAAACCCCAAAATAAATTTAGATATAATAAAAAACTTGTTAAGGTTTTTGCTTAAAATAAAGTAAAATATTAGTTTTTAGCTTAGGTGAAGATTATAAATATTTTATATCACCATTATCTTATATGATTTAAACTTATTTCAGTATTTACTTCAAGTTTTCCTGTATTTAACAATTTCACAAGGTGGTGAAATCTATATTTATTATATAGTTTTCAAGTATAAAATTCTATTACATCTTATTCTACAAATATTATTCCATTGAACTTACAATCTAATAAAAAAAGATACCCGATCCCATGAAACTATCAGCTAATCTGATTATTTGTTAAAGTAAAATTTATTTTATTTGAAGAAAACACAATTATTTATTGATTTCCCAATTCCAATCCCACAGAAAACTGGCCCCGCACCGCCAATGGCCACCTGAGCACCGCTGGCACCACCGCCACAGTGGCCTTTATGCGTCGCGAGAAGATCTACATTGGTCATGTGGGCGATTCCGGGATAGTTTTGGGCTACCAGAACAAGGGCGAACGCAACTGGCGGGCACGACCTCTGACCACGGATCACAAGCCGGAATCGCTGGCCGAGAAGACGCGAATCCAGCGAGCCGGCGGCAATGTGGCCATCAAGTCGGGAGTTCCGCGAGTGGTATGGAATCGACCCAGGGATCCCATGCATCGCGGTCCCATTCGTCGGAGGACTCTGGTGGACGATATACCCTTTCTGGCCGTTGCCCGTTCGCTGGGCGATCTGTGGAGCTACAATTCCCGCTTCAAGGAGTTTGTCGTGAGTCCCGATCCGGATGTCAAGGTGGTTAAAATCGATCCCAGTACCTTTAGGTGGGTATTTCTCTTCAAGATTTCTTAGAAAACACATTAATTCGCTATTAAATCTATTGCAGATGCCTAATCTTCGGCACCGACGGCCTGTGGAACGTGGTGACCGCCCAGGAGGCGGTGGACAGTGTGCGCAAGGAGCATCTGATCGGCGAGATACTCAACGAACAGGACGTTATGAATCCCAGCAAGGCGCTGGTGGATCAGGCCCTCAAGACCTGGGCCGCCAAGAAGATGCGGGCCGACAATACGTCCGTTGTGACTGTGATATTATCGCCAGCTGCCCACAATAATGCAACCACCACAACGCCGGCGCGTTCGCAATCGGCGTTGGCACGCGATACCGACCTGGAGGTGGAACTCCTGCTGGAGGAGGACGACGAGGAGCTGCCGCCGCTGGATGCGGAGAACAATTACCCCGACTTTCTGATCGAGGAGGATGAATATGTGCTGGAACAGCCGTACAGTGCCTTGGCCAAGCGGCATTTGCCGCCCGAAGCCTTTCGTGATTTCGATTACTTTGGCCTGGACGAAGATGAGCCCGATGAGGATGACGAAACGGTGGAGGAGGAGCATTCGGAGGAGGAGGAGCTGCTCAAGCCGGTTGGTCTCTTGCAGCAGAGTCTGTTTAGTCCGCGCAAAACGTGGCGCAAGTCAACGATTAACAATTCCTGGAGTGGCGAAACCGAACCTGAGCCCGATCCCGATCCCGAACCAGATCGATTGGACATGTATTCGCACACCAGCATCGACAAGTGCGCCATCTACGCCGACAGCATAGTGCCGCCCGTTCCGATAAGTCCAAGTCCAGCGGAAAGGGCTGAGAATCGAGAGCTCAGCGAACTGGAGCAGCATTTGGAGAGTAGCTATAGTTTTGCCGAATCCTACAATACCCTTTTGAACGAGCAGGAAGAGCAGGAGGCCCGATCCCGCTCAGCGGCGGCCGCTGCAGCCGCAGCCGAGCAGCATTCTTCGCCATCCGTGGTGGTGGATCGCAGCATGTTTGAGATTATCCAGGAGCAGCAGCACTACCAGCAACAGGAGGGCTATTCGCTGACCCAGCTGGAGACCAGGCGCGAAAGGGAGCGTCTGACCGAGGCATCCACATCATCAGCGTCATCATCGTGGCCCCAACAGCCGGCGGAGCTGCTCGAACTGGACGCCCTGCTGCAGCAGGAGCGGGCCGAGGAGGAGCAGGTGGCCCTGGAGCAACAGCTGCAGCGCGAGCAGCAAATGGAGGCCATCAGCAGTTCGGCGGAGTTTGCCGCCTTCCCAGTGGAAGTGGCCGATGCTGTTGAGTGGAGTGCAGCGATAGAGGAAGTGGAGGAGCAGAAGATAGAAGTAGAAATGGAACAGGAAAAGGAACATGTACACGAACAGGAGCTGCAGGACAACGAAGTGAGCTCCACGCTGCCCGCCACACCCACTCTAGTGGATCCAGATCCAAAAAAGCTTCAAGTTGAGATGGAGAAGAAGCCAGGACTCGCTGCCGTTCTGGAAACAGTGGCCGAAATCCACAAAGAGGATGCCCACACTGTGCACTATCTATTTGAGCAGATCCAGAAGCTGCAGGAAACCGAAATCGCCGCTGAATCGCCGAATCACCAACCGAGTGGCGAGTCCATGTCCGCCCCGCGAATCCGCCAAATGCGACGCTATCGCAATGTACCCAACGAGAATCACCAGCACATGCAGACGCGTCGTCGCCAGATGTTCAGGCACGGCAAACCCAAGTCCCTGGTGGCCTATGGCGATGGCAGTGGAACAGTGGCAGCCGGATCATCTGGGAATCCGGCAGAGAATCGAGTGGGCGGCGGTGGATCAGCGAGCAGCGGTAGCAATTCCGCTACAGCCGCCACTCGACGACGCAGCGTGGCCAGTTCGAGCGGTGGCAATGTGCCCGGCAGCAGCAGCTCCATGATGATGACCCGACGCAGCCACAGCTTGACAGCCAGCGGTGGCGTGAGCAAGAGGCAGCTGCGCAGCAGTCTCTGCAGTTTGGGCCTGCAACTCGGTTTGGATATGACCAAGCGAACGCTGAGGACGCGAAATGTTCCGGTTTCAGCGGGCAGCGGAGGAGCAGCCACTCCCGTTGGCAACTCATCTACGTCAGCCGGTGGAGGCAGTTCTCCCGGCGGTTTTGCCAGTCCAAACAATCCAGTCAGCACGCCGAGGGGAAATGGAGCGGGTCGCCTGAAGCGCAGTCACGAGGATCGCGAGCAGCGGAGGAGCCTGCGACGCAGCACTCTGAGTGCCGCGGCCAGCGGAAGTGGCGGTGGAGGATCCTCCTCCTCCTCCAACTCGAAACCCAATCGCCTGCAGGCCTGCAATGGAGGAGCCATTTCCGCGCGACCGCCACCTTCGCCCAAGAAGCTGAATGCAGCGGTACCCACGCTGGCCATTGGAACGCGGGCTTATACCGCTGCTCTGGCGGCGGCGGCGGATCACCTGAACAAGCGGTGGTCGCTGAGGAGCAGCAGCGGCAACTCCGGCGGCAACCTGATAACAGCCATTAGTTGCTATAGTGCCAGGAGCAGGGCGGCGGCAGCGGGAGGAGGAGCAGCCCCAGGATCTGCAGCAGGATCACCAGGACCAGCATCTTTAACCGCATCCCCGGTGGCCACGCGAAGGCGTTAGAATAACAAAAAAAAAATAAAACCCAAAATCAAGCGGGGCGAGCAACTTGCAAGTACAAATCCCAAGCAACGGAAAACCTAAAATCCTAGTTCTACTTTATCCAAAATGCTAAATTGTGTAATCTAACAGATTTTTTTATGTGCACAACACACACACGCAGACATCGGATATATCGTTTTATTGTATATAGAAGAAGCTATATAAACCACATAATATACACACATATATAAATATATTTATACCTAAGCCTAAACAATAAAACAAATTCATAGTGTAGCTATAAATCGCAGTTAGTATATAGTAGAGATATATATATATATTTTTTGTATTGCCTGCAGTAAGCAGTTCTCCAACATCCGACAGTTTTCCTCAATATAAATGCCCTTTTTCTAATTAAATCGATTGTGAGTTTAGGAACCACACAACACAACATCGGAAAGTATTTATGGTTTATATTTTTTACGCTAAGTTGACTAAGCTAGCTCATAAGTTAAGTTAACACGAGAGATGCTAATTACTTTAATCACTTACCCTTCTTTTTTTTGTGCTTCGTTTGTAAGACGTTTACTACTTGCGTTTGCGTATTAATTTCATGTCATCGCGCTCACGTGCATTAAGCATTGTCATTATCCAATGAAATACATATGATATTTTTGCATAATTAATTGGAGTCTTCTTTATTAATTGGGGGAATGATTTTGGAAGTTTTCAAATGGTAAATATTTGGAAAAGGAAGGAAACAAATAATTAAGTACTTCTACTTGGTCAAATGTGGGCTTACACCAAAAATGAAAACTGTTTTGAACAGATAATAAAATAAGAAATAAATCCATAACACTTTCCGGGTGATATTGGAAAAATAAAATTTTCGCCAATTTTAATTTTTTTTTGTGGCCAAAAAATAAATTGTCCAGGTTTTAATGCCAATCGATTGGAAATTTATTAGCGAGTTCAGAAAGGTATGACAATCCATAATTTGATAAATATTTACATTGTTACACTCAAAAAAGTAATAATTTTTTTGTTAAAAATTGGAATCTGGGTTTTTGATAAAAATTGAATTTTTGCAGTTTGTTTTTTTTTGCTGAAACAAATATATCCGATCCGTGTGCTTTTCAAATTTGATCTGTTTACATACTTTAGGACGACTGAAGGTTTCCGATTACTAGCTTTTAAACTGAGGTCGACCTAGTGATCCTGATCAAGAACATATATACTTTATCGACCTTTAAACTTCTGACCAAAAATACAATACCCTCTGGCAAGGGTATACAAAATGTATTTCAGTGTAAGCACAGTTCGTTTTTTACATTCTACACTTTTTTACATTTTACATCAACGGTTGCAGCGCCACTCATTTTAGCAATGTAGAAACACCGATAGTCAACGACAAAACATATCTAGGGTATCGCTTAAACTGTTAAATGTTTGGTCAGCTGTCCAATATTTAACTGACAAAAATATCAGCAAAACTGCATCCTCGAGGCTTATTTAACTAAAATATCAACAAATTAGTACTTATTACCACAGATTGAATTATTTGGCTAAAATCTAACAATTCTCGACAGCCACCGACAAAGAAATCGAAAATTGTATAAAGTATTTAGGCTCGGCATTTTAAAAAAGCAACAGAAACAACTTAGGTATTTTTTAAATTTCATATTTAATTTTCAGCAATTCCATAGTAAAAGGAATACCATCGATGCTTCTCTCCCATTGCAATCCTCTCTTTCACCGCTCTCTTTTTAGCAGAAAATGTTAAGATGCAACGTTTTCTTACATTGGCAGAGCAGCGGCAGAGCTTCGGCAGCGACGCAACGTTTTCGACAACGTTTTCGTATCTTAACATTTCTGTTAAAATGAGTGGCGCGGCAACCGTTGATGTAAAATGTAAAAAAGTGTAGAATGTAAAAAACGAACTGTGCTTAGGGATGTGAAAACACCGATAGTCCACGATAAAACATCGCTACTTGCAAACAGTGTGACCATTATCGCTCCACCGACGACTCTGCAGCCCTCGCGGTTTCCTGGTATTTTTTAGGCAGTTCCTCCCGTTTCAACCCAGCTTGTTTGTGAAAAACGCAACCTTTTTTGTTGTAATGTAGGAATACAAAAGAGAAATATCTAGGGTATTCTTTAAACTGATAAAAGTTTGGTCAGCTGTCCAATATTTAATTGACAAAAATATCAGGCTTATTTAATTAAAGTATCAACATATTAGTACTTAGTATGATTACTTCTTGGCGGACTAACGACAGCAACTCGGCTTTTTAAGAAAGCAATAAAAACAACTTAGGTATTTTTTAAATTTTATCTTTAATTCTCAGCAATTTTATAGTAAAAGGAATACCATCGATGCTTCTCTCCTATTGCAATCCTCTCTTTCACCGCTCTCTTTTTAGCAGAAAATGTTAAGATGCAACGTTTTCTTACATTGGCGTCGCTGCCGATGCTCTGCCGCTGCTCTGCCAATGTAAGAAAACGTTGCATCTTAACATTTCTGTTAGAAAACGCCGTTAATTAGGGATGTGAAAACACTGATAGACGGCGATAGTACATCGATACTTCCGAAAAGGGTGACCATCATCGCTCCACCGATGACTCTGCAGCCCTCGCGGTTTCCTGGCATTTTTTAGTCAATTCCTCCCGTTTCAACCAGCTTGTTTGTGAAAAACGCAACCTTTTTTGTTGTAATGTAGCAGCGCAGCCGACCAACTCGAATCCGCGCACCGCCGTCACGAACGTAGAGCAAGAAACCGCCCGTGTAACGAGACTCAAACTCCGAGCGACGGCCACAACAACCCCCAGAGCGACGGGGTTTTCCAGCGGCAGCGGCGACAAACAACAAACAAACGGGAAGCGCAGGAAAAGAACGCGTTTGCGTAGCGTCCTGCTGGCCGAGAATCAAAATTAACCGTCTTTAGCGCGTAAAACTTTCAAAAAAGTAAGTGGAAAGCGCAAGCTAGGCGGTGGAAAACGTGAAAAGTGTGGAAAAGTGTGCCTGTGTTTGTGCGTCGGTGTGTTTTAACGGTTACGTCTGTGCGTCTGGCACAGTTAACCGTCATTTTCTCCCCTCTCCCTCGCTCCGCCGCTCCCCTCCATTGCGTTTTCCACTGCTAGCTGTACATTGTGTGCGAGCGGGACGGGGCGACGGGGCCTGGGAGAGTAGTGCGATCTCACCCTCTCTCCCTCTCTCGCTCTCTGCACAATAGGAAAAGCAATAACAATGGTGAAAAAAGTACATACATAGGTGACTGCAAATTGCCAAGTTAAATATTTAAACGCAGTCTGCTTTTGGCTTATTAGATGCGCGATGTCCTTGACATAATTGCAACCGAAAAGTTGCTACGGCCATCGATTATTCCCATGCAACCTCAGCCCGTCTCCCTCTCGCCTTCCCACTGGAAAAAGGGGGTTGTTGTTGTCTGTGGTCCGTTATCATTCCAGTGTTCATTTTTGATAAGGAATCAAAGTGTATGAAAAGAAGCCACAGTAACCACATCCCACGGACTCGGACTTGTACTTCTTATCGCCCACTGCGGTTTTCTCGTATTTATAGTGCCTGGAATTTCCTTGGCATTTTCTTCTCCCACGGAGCGCTCTTTATCTTTATCCCTCCCTCCAAGCTGACCTTCCACTTCCAGCAGCCACAACAACGTGCACTAAAAATAGTACAAGCACATGGACAGAATATAAACAGATTGTCTTAGATCGCAGACGGAGTGAGGGGGACGGCAAGAGGCCAGGTTCATTGTCCTTGATCGCCTGGTGTGAGTGTGCGGGAGGGGGAGGGAGAGAGAGCGGGGTCGTGGAAAGTGGAAAGTGACTCTCCCCCGAGCGACGTGTCACCTTCCATCGAATGCACTGGGTGCGACAGAGAGGGGGCGAACGGGATCATAAAAGCAGCCAAGGGGGTGGTAATTCAACCCCCCAGAAAAATCCCCTATAATTTGTTTACTTTTGGTCTTGATAAAGTCCGTTTAATAGTCTAAATCTTAGAAAAGAAACCTAGAATTTTAAATATATATTTTTAACTCAATATATTCCCCTTAAATAATAATTAAAAAAAATAAATATTATCCATCGTGGATCCTTAAAAACTATTTAGCTGATCACGTTATTTATGATCATTATTTATAAATATTTCCTATAAAACCTAAAAGTTACATGGCTTGGATCCTCCTCAATTAAATATAAATTGAAGAAAATCTAGTAGATCACATATCATAAAAGTGTGATATCATTTTCTTCAATTGAGAAAAAGCCTTTTCTTGTTTACTAGGGGTTTCCCATTTCGTAAGCCTATTTACACCTCCCCCAGAGGGCACTACTGGTAAATCCAAGAATATTCCCCCTTTTTTATTTACACTACCCCAACTTTCACACGCCTGTTATCGAACCCTACCCCAAAGTATCCCCCTACAACACCCCATATCGGGTATTATAAGGCGCCTCCTTCTTAGCCTTATCGCTAGTGCCTCCATTTCTCGCTTATCGGCAGTAAGTCGCCGGCTTTAATTATGTTCCCGGGGCTTGAGTCATGGATTAATATTAATACAAGTAGGTATACATGCACATGTGTGTATATTTTGGGAAACAAATGTTTACTTTGTATCGGTATTCGAAGTTATCAGCACTCGGAGTTTTCAGTACCTGCCGAGGGCGGTACCTGCGAGTCAATAGCTTTATCTCTATCTTCATTCAACCCCCGACAGCCGACGAAAAAGTGAGTTTTATTTTGGAGTTGGATCAGTAACCTGTCGGTTGTTGTCTGTTGACAGTCCTCAGTTTATAGTTCTCCGTATCGGTGTCTACATATATTTTATATATTTTCTAAAGCAAAAAAATCGTAAAATTTAATAGAAAAACGGAAAAAAAACTAGCGCAGTACTACTTCTACTTACCTCGATGCGGAAGTGTTTGGCCTGAGTAAGTTTTCCGTTTCGGTTTCTGGTTACGCGGCTGTGGCTCTAAGGGTTCCTAAAAACCGGGAGAAAACACCTAGTCCAAAGGAGGAAAGCTTGCAGCGCCGCCGCAAACAAGCAACACTTAACGCCCATAAATTAATTACCACCGAGCACGCCAGAAATATAAAAGAAAAGAGCTCTATAGAAAAAAAGTGGAGAAGGGGCCTCGGAATTTCGAATAGATCGCTGGGGCGGATCTAATTAGCAGCCGAAAGGGCCGATCATATTTCTTTTACAATTTTGTGGCTACAAAATAAATTGTAAATCAGAGTTACTTTTAATATTACATATTAAATTAAATATTATATGTATATTTTGTTAGCTCTTTGGTGGTATTTCAAGCTTCGATCTTTAAGATCAGTATTTTTTTTGAAATTTCTTTTCGTATGCAGAACGCAACCGAGGGAAGATACATCCAAAATACATGACAGCCAACTCGCTGTCTCCTCGTCGCCCCTATTTATTCTATTCTATTCTGTGATTGATACGCCCCCAACGAAATGGGTGCGAAAAAGACTCGAAAATAGAAAGGCAATTGCCGGGCTGATTAGCCAGGCCCAAAGCCCAAATTCAATCCCAGACGTTGATTAATGGCTTTAAAGCCAAAATGTCGTTGTAGTCAACAAAAAACACGAAAAAACACCACAAATAAATTACAATTTTATTCAAATTCGAAAAAAAAAATAGAGAAACCATTCTAATTAATTATGTTTATCTGTTCTTCTCTCTTGCAGCACTCGTATATAATTCGTATATATATTTTCTACCAGATTTAAAAATTTTTGTTTTTTTTTTAATTGGAGTTTTATTTTTCCAAGTTTTGTTTGGTTAAATTTGTGTTATATTTTTGAAAACCAAAGGCGTTCCAAGTAAACGAAAAGCACAGGCGAGGGCACGTGGCTAGTAACAATAGCCGATAAGATGTTTAGCCCCGAATATGAGAAACGCATCCTGAAGCACTGCAGTCCCGTGGCCCGAAATCTGTTCGACAACCTCGAGTCGTCAACCACGCCCACATCACTCGATCGCTTCATACCCTGCAGGTGAGTTGGATTTTGGGCTTTTATTTATAAAATTTTTAAAAATGATTAAAAAAAAATTTTTTTTTTTTAATATTTTAGACTTTAACTAGTGAAATTATTTCCAAATAAGTTGTAAACATTATTAAAACCTTTGTAGACCCCAATACCAATGTGTTACAACTTTAATGGTTGGCATAGTAATATTTTGTAATTTTAATTGAGTGCATTGAACTCTGCACAAGCCGTTATTCTTTTTGCTACGTCATCTTTTCCGCTTTCAAGGCGAAAGAACTGGCGAAAAAAGAATAATCAACGGCGGATACAAATTACCAACCTAAGAATTTCCCGCCTGGCTGCCCCTTGTTTAGCTAACGGTAATTCAATGTCCGCCGACAAACAGAAACAACAACTATACACACATAAAGCAACAAACACGAACGACAAACATGGTCAGCCGTAATTTACATAAATATAATTGTAATAGGCGGAAAACCAGTGGGTTTTAATGTTAAAATATTTTTTTTAAGTAGTAAAGAAAAGAAAAGAAGAGAAAAAACTCATATTTTATTTCACCATTTAAGAAATATTTTTTGGGGACTCAATTTAATTTTGTTAGTATGTTCTGGTTTCATTTGTTTTATTTTTGGGTTATGAAACAGTAAAGTAAATTCTTATATGCATATTTGAAATATTTCTTCCTGCATTTGGCCACAATCTGTAGGCTCTTCAGCCCAAAGAAACCAAAAATTGGCACCGCTGTTGGCCAAAGAACTTGAATATTTTTCATCTTCACTCGCTAATGAGTTCCGCGTAGAAAGAAAACACGAAAAGGAGGAAAGAAGGGAAAAGACAAAGTGAATAACTAAAAACTTCATGGGAAAACGGGGAAATTTGAACTTTGTTGTGTGCCAACTTAGGTTTTTTCTTCGTTTTGTTTTTGGGTTTAATGACAAAAACCCAAAGACGACGTGAGAGTTCAGCAAAAAGTTGGCCAGCAAAAGAAGCGAAACATTTTTCAGATGGCTAATTACCGCGTTGAAACTTAATTAGTTTCCGGTTAAGAGATGTTTATTTTTTTTTCCTTTTGCCGAAACTCGATAGAGGTTTTAGCCCCCTTTTGATTGAATTGTCATTCGTCGCGCCTGCATTTTGTATATACCTAATACCTATATGTATATTTTTCCTCGCTCAATTTTATGTGTCCCCCATCCGTTTATGAAATTTGATTTATTCGAGGTGGAAGTGAGCACTTCAAATGCGTTTGCCAGATATAATCATCAAAAAAGGGGGGGATCCTCAAATGTACAAAAAATAATACAGCAAAAACCAACAAAAGCCAACGCTTATTGCATTCGTAAACAGTTTTTCACAGTGCAGTGCAATTCTCTCACACTTGGCCAAATTTCATGGCAAATGATTATTATTTTCAGTTGTTGTGTTTCGCCAATTTTGCACAATTCGACCGTCAATAATTTTTTTGCACGTTGCACACGTTTTTTATGTTTTTAATGGGCAGAAATAATAACAATTGTTTTGCCTGGTGGGGAATAATGTGCCAGACGATATGGCTAAATTGAATTTGAACGCGTTTGCATAAATTTATTTAGTCTACGTTCTGTGAGTTGTGAAGTGCCCTCCCATGATTCCATTGTGGGGTTTTTATATAAATTATTTATGTAAGGCTAAGTATTTTTTGATGTTCTCATTTACTTTTCTTCTTTATCCCATTGTTGCAACGAAACGATATCTTCCTTCGGTCATGGTCGTCGAAAAATCTAAGAAAAAAATGGGGAAATTAGGGGGAAATCTTCTAAATTCATTTATTAATTTATTCAAAGATTTAATAATATTTTTGAAAATTACAAACAAAAATTAAATAATTCAAGAAAGTATAGACATAAAATCTGAAATATAATCCCCCTTTTTTGTGAAATCCTAGCTACGCCCCATGACCGCCTAGGTTCTTCCTGTTCTAGCGATAATTAATGGCATTTTCATTGCATTAACATTTTCGTGTTTTCCTATCTTTTCCGCCTTTTTTCTGCAGAGCGAACAACAACTGGCAGACGAACTTCGCGTCGATCAACAAGTCCAATGACAACTCGCCGCAGACGAGCAAGAAGCAGCGGGACTGCGGGGAAACGGCACGCGATAGTCTGGCCTACTCCTGCCTCCTGAAGAACGAGCTCCTGGGATCGGCGATCGACGATGTGAAGACCGCCGGCGAGGAGCGGAATGAGAATGCCTACACGCCGGCCGCGAAGCGGAGTCTCTTCAAGTACCAGTCACCCACCAAGCAGGTGAGTTTTCCATTAACATTTTTCATTTACCCGGAGGTTTTTTTATGTTGGTTTTAATTTGGAGAGAAGTTTCGCTAAAAACGATACTTAGATTTAAGGTAACTGAGAATGAAAGTAGGTAATAAATAAAACTAGAGATTTCTGCAAAATTATCAAAATAATCGAAATGTTAATGATCGAAAATATCGATTTTTTAGTTCAAAGAAAGAACGGTTTAAATATTGATGTATCAACAAAATGTTGTTTTATGTTTTGAGATCGGAATATTTAGTAAAACTAAATATATCGTTTGCAAAAAATATCGAAATTATAGGTATCATAAAATCTACTAAATTTCGTTTTTGTGTAGAAAATGTCCCCCATAAAAATGCTGGGAATTCTCTAAGCTATAAAGGTCAGCGAATTTGACTTTTGATTGAGGTTTCACAGTTTCACAGGGGCATTGTGTGCTGCAGAATGCATTTAATTGAATTTGCAGTCGGTGTTAATTGAGGTTTTCTTATACTCCCTTGAGATGAAAAAGAAAAGATCTCAAACGGAAAGTTGAATAAACAGCAAGAGAGATGAGGTCGTGGGAAATGGAGATTTTTTGTGAATTCTGTTTAGGTTTGTTCAATTCTTGCAGTAATATTTTGAAAAATAGGTATTTGATAAACTTGTCTCTGTGATTTTCCTCCAAAAACGTTTTCCCTGCCGGGAAAAATCTTGACCGGCATTCATGACTCCCCTTCTGCGTCCATCTAAGAATCTATTGATCCGTGGAAACCGGTTTTTTTTGTTTTGTGAAAAGTCTTATAGTCTAAGACGAATCGGGAGAAAAGTTGTTCGACCAAAACCCGAGGTGAACACACTCTCTTTGATTCCAGTGCGCGCGTGATGATGGCCAACGTGTTTGGAGATCTCTCCCCGTCCATATAAGTAGTATATAGATCTACTCCATCGTCATTTAATTGTATACATATATATACATATAGCTGGTGGACTGATTGTTCAAGTGTTTGGACCAAAAATAAAGTAGATAAATAGATAAAAACAAACAGAAACAGAAATACAGATGTGAAGTGGGGGGAAACTATTGCCACTTGTCATTAGATTCGTGGCTACGCCGGTGATCTCCCCCGTCAACATTATCGCCATCCTCGATCATAATTATTATTATTGCAGACCTGACATATTTGCCTGCTTATCAGATTTATGTTGCCTCAATTGGCCGCTCGGTAAAATGCTGAAAAAAAAAATTAAATGAAAAAATAAATAAAGAGGTACGTGTGGGGCACGTCCGCTGACCGACCGTCCGTCCGTCGTTGTCTTTTGCCCTTCTTGACTTTGTTGGATATTTTGCTTTGACTGATTTTTGACAGTTGACACGTTGCCGTAGCAGCAGAAGCGGTAGAAAAATCATCAGCAGCCAACAGCCAAATGGCCAACAAAAATAACAAAAGCGAGTTGGAAACAAATAAGTGAGCAACACACGCACTCACTTCAGATAAAAATACAACAAAAATAGACGTTTATTTGAAAGCGACGCGGTGAATACCCTTTGAATTGGGTCGCTTAGATTAATAGGTTTTTTTTTTTTTTTTTTTACTAGATTAATTGCATTTTCCTAAACAAACGTATATTTTCCTGGAATATTTTAAGATTTTCTTATGTCAAGGTGTCGTATTGTTTACAGGTTGATTTAGGATGTTTTTATAAGAATTATATTCTACTTCACTTCCATCCAGTTAAATAATTTTAAATATTTTTAATATGAAAAGTTATGTCTTCTTGGGTATTTTTAAGGTCTATTTATAGGTTGAAATAGGATTTTTTTTATAAGAAATATATTTTTTATGAGTACCCAAACGTCCCATTGTAATAACAGGGTATATATATTTAATGGAAAGACTGAAAGAAACGAAACTTGAAGTGGTTCAAAGAGACCGGACCACAGAATTCTCCATCTTCAACTACTACTTCAGTGGTCTAAAACGACACTTGAGTCAATAACTGAGATCTCTGTGTGCCCATTTAACCCACGAAAAGAGGGATGAAATCACTTGGAGCAACTCTTTTTCATTTTTTTTGGTTCTTGATTAATAGCGAGTTGATTTCTTTTGGGCCTAATGCTTTTGCCAATTGGCAACTGTCGAGAGCTAACTCGATTTTCTCTGTCTGTCGCCCCAGCTCAATTACTCACCCACAAATCGCCGTCCATTCATCTATATCACGCCCACACAATTAACACGCCACTCCCCTTTTTTTTTCATAGGGCCCTTATGTTTTTCACTTTTTCATATTCCATATGCCTCTGTGGTCACAACAAACAATATGTAATTCAATTATGTGCGGTCGCAAAGTTATTGTCATAAATAATGTAGTTGAAGGTGGGAGGAGGGAGTCCAATCTCCTAAGGTTTTTTCGTACAGTAGTTTCTCGTTGTCCAGCAGTCACCGAAATATATGGTCTCAACACTTTTTTAGACGTTTGCCATTGTTTTGATTGAAAAATTGGGGATTGGTTTGGGTTTTTGGGTTCATTGACGAGTTGAAAGAAGTATGTTGGAATTTTTAGTTCTCTATGAATGGGGGTTCATTGTTAGTCAAATATTGTAGGAAATATGTGTGGTAATCTATTTTGATTAGAATATTTATAGTATTAATTAGAAATTAGAGTGATACTATTCTTTTATATTTTTATCTCTTTGAATTACTATATTTTTTTAATGGTTTTGAAAGCCTGTTAAAGTTTTCGTTGTAATTTCTCAGATTTAATTACTTTTTCTTCTACTCGTAGAGTTGTGAATTTCGTGCCAGCTATTTATATTTGAGTAATTACTATTATTTCTTTTTTTTTTCAACAATCCAATCACTGCTGCTTTAAGTAACTATAATTTAACACCCCTTTACCAACCGATTTCGTGCACCTGCTGTTGTATTATTTTTTTTTCCATCCGTCTGGCTGCCCATTTCGAATAGCCATTAAGGGGAATTATAGAAAACCGACTACTCACCAGCCCCCATATCATACCATACGATACCAACCCATACCATCGAAATCTCATCGTTTATAGTTTGTTTTTGTTGTCTCCGCTTTTATTGTTATTATAATTATTAATTTATGCAGCAGACATTTGCATTAACATCGCATTAGCGATGACTATTTTCGTGGCAGCGTGATTAAGTTGGTCCGAGATCCTACGATCCGAACCGAGATCCCAAACGATCGGAGCGACAGGTTCAGCATTACCATTAAACATGGGTTAACCACTTCTTTTTAAAATCACGCTTTTATTTCCCCCCCTTCTTTTTTTGTTTCTTGTATTTTTGTTGTATTTTTTCTCATTTCATTTCTCAGTTCTCGCTGCTGGTTGGTTGTTTATTTGTTTAATTTATAAGCCTGCCTCCAAGCGCCGCCCACAAACAAAAAGAGTAAAAATATAGAAGATATAAAAAAGCAAGACTTAACAACAAATGCCGGCCGGCAAGTTGGTTTTTTTCTTCTTTTTTTGCTAGCAACTCGCATTTTTGTTTTTTGTTTGGCGTTTGCTGAGCGGAATGAATGAATGATGATTGTTTTGCGGCACTGTGACATTCTATTTTGTACCAGACTGTACTGCAATTAACAGAAAGCCACTAATTAAATAAAACCATTACCAACTTAGGGACTAAAATTACACATTTCAAAAGATTTATATACACAAAATATGATTATAAAATCTTGGAAAATAATAAAATAAATGTTCGAAAAATATTGATTGTAAAACCACAGGAAATCATAGAAAACAGACTACGCTAAATATTGTAATTAAAATAGTAAAAAAAATGTTATCAAAATCTTAAAAACAGGCAAAAAAAGTTAAAAAGCAAACTAAAAAGTTGAAAAATATCTGATAAATAGGTAAAGCCGCAAGGTTAAAACAAGAGCTCACTGTGCGATTTTAATCGGTTACCAGTTGTCGGATTTCCTTTGGTCATTTGTCAGTGGGCTTTACGGCCCCTTTAACCCCCTTTATCCCCCTCGAACTTAAAGCGTTTTAACAATTGAATTTCTAATAGGCTTACCACCTCGCTTTTTTTCTTTCTTTTTTTTCTGCGCCCTGCATGGCATCGAAAAACATTTAAATTTAATGGCAGTTGCTTGTACGCTTTATAGAGTGGTTGGTGGTCAAAAAGGGGAATCAGGGGTATCTGAAGTTTTTTAACTGCCTTCATAACATTCCCAGAAAATGGAAGCAAAGACCCCGAAAACCATTAAATTGCTGGCTTCTTTTTTGCGGTGATATATTTCTGTAATGCCATTTTTTTCCAAAGTGTAAAGTGACCATTAAGATCTCCACACACGCACTCATTTATTAAGATATATATATCTAAAAAAAATCCCAAAAATACCCAAACCAAGTTCTGTAATTAAGTTCTGTGTTTCTCATCTCGTTTGCTTTTGGCCTCTCTCTGCTAATTGAATTAAATTTTCATTTTAATTTGCTAAACGAATTAAGAGTGGCGGCATGACGTCAAGTGCTTCTTTTTTTTTGGGGTCAGGTCAAAGCACCTCAACCCTATCTACCATACACCCCATATGGTATTCCGATATGTGCACACTTACGTGTTCACTTTATCTGGGGGTTCGCTATGTTTGCCGGGATGTTTGCTCACTTTATCGGAGTCGTAAGCGCGAGAGAACCTGACCAAACCCATAATGACAAATGCCGTTCCAAATAAAAGAAACCAAACTACATTTCGGGCATTACGAAAAGCGATATGCGACATGAGTCGAGCTTCAAGTATTTATAACAAGTTAACTTTTTTTAAAGTTTTAAAAATGACTGTGAAACCCATGCGTCAACTTATTACTCAGCTCAAAAATGGTAGCGATTAGTCGACACGAATGTGCAGAACTTTATTTTAATCATTTCTATAAATTAATTGTTATCCAAGTAATGTGGAATTTGTGTATAAATTTTCGGTGTATGTTTTAAGATTATAATTCTTTTGAAAGGGAAATCTAGGAATCAACCTGGGAATTCATTTTCATAAATTAAAAACAAATGTCTTGCGACACGGAAACGAATGGGGAATATTCTTCCCTTTTAATAGAATGCATTTAGAGTTGTATACTCCCTTGTAAAATATTCCAGAGAAAGCACCCTATTCATTAAATTTACATCTCCATCCGCCACGAACTTTTCTTCATTTTTCCCACATTGCATTTGGCACGCACAATTCCGTTTAGGCTTGAATAGTTTTCGAGACTCACGCATTTCAAATGTAATTTGGTTGCGTAAGAGGGGCAGAGGTGGAGGTCCGATGACTTTAACTACTGGCCCTTTTTACGCATACGCTTAACACACTTCTCTGCTCTGCCCGCATTTTCTATGCAAACAAAAGAGCTCCCAGCGAAGCGGAATGTGTGCCAAATGCGAATTGTAAGTGCTACACAGAGATATTTGTACTTAAAACACGAAGTTTGTTTATATATTCAGTTTATATATTTCCGGTCTCAAGTGAAGAAGAACTATATAATATATTATTGTAATATTTGAAACCCATTATTTGTCTTTAATTACAATTATTACATTATAATATATTTGTTAATAATTCATTTAATCAATGTTTTCAATAGATAACCGTATTTTGATATGAGATATAGATCGATTTTGGATATTTTAGATTTTATATATGATATAATATTACATTATTTAAAATTCACTCTTCTTATTTATAAGTTTATTTTATAATATTTCTGGATTTTAAAGACAATCCCATTTTTTGTGAGATTTAGATACATAAATATTTTTATATTTATATATGATATGATAACACACACTTTTTAATGAGATTTATATAGATTTTTCAAAAGACATTTCCACTTTTATTAATGAGATTTCGATACATAGATTTTAGATTTACATATGATATTATATAAGTACGGTTGTGATATCTTATTATAATATTACATTATTTACAAGTTTTTTTTTAATATTTTATGAGACAACCGCATTTATTTTTTAGATCTACATAGATTTTAGATACCATAGCTATCTTTTCGTTAGGTGTACGATAGAAGGTGAGGCGTCTGATGGGGAGGAGGAGTAGCTTGTGACCAGGGGGAGGGATTACGACGCGGTCGCAACTCTTAGCACGATGGCGTTAATTGCTGAACGCCAAGTACGCGGCCAGCAAACAAAGCGAACTCCGCTTTTTCCCTCTTTTTTTCACAGAGCCCCCAATTGAGATGGGCATTTGCTTTGGCAATTTCTTGCTCTGCTGCAGCAACTGGAACGCCAGCTGCTAATTGCTTGTACAATCAATCCAAGCCAATCTAAAACTAAGCTTCTATTTTCGAATCCACTTACTCAAACTTATATTCTTGCTTTTTCTTTCAGGACTACAATGGCGAGTGCCCGTACTCATTGTCTCCCGTTAGCGCCAAAAGCCAGAAGCTGCTGCGATCGCCCCGCAAGGCCACGCGCAAGATATCGCGCATACCCTTCAAGGTGCTGGATGCGCCGGAGCTGCAGGACGACTTCTATCTGAATCTGGTCGACTGGTCATCGCAGAATGTCCTGGCCGTGGGCCTGGGCAGCTGTGTCTACCTGTGGAGCGCCTGCACGAGTCAGGTGAGTTAATCTACGAGGAAATCCCTTAATCATGATCTTAATCAATCTCCTCTGCCCTTCTAGGTTACCCGCCTGTGTGATCTCAGTCCGGATGCGAATACGGTGACCTCGGTGTCGTGGAACGAGCGCGGCAACACGGTGGCCGTGGGCACCCACCACGGCTACGTGACCGTCTGGGATGTGGCGGCCAACAAGCAGATCAACAAGCTCAACGGCCACTCGGCACGCGTGGGTGCGCTGGCCTGGAACAGTGACATCCTATCGAGCGGATCCCGCGATCGCTGGATTATCCAGCGCGACACGCGGACGCCGCAGCTGCAGTCGGAGCGACGGCTGGCCGGGCATCGGCAGGAGGTGTGCGGACTGAAATGGTCGCCGGACAATCAGTACTTGGCCAGTGGCGGCAACGACAATCGGCTGTATGTGTGGAACCAGCATTCCGTGAATCCCGTGCAATCGTACACGGAGCACATGGCGGCCGTGAAGGCGATCGCCTGGTCGCCGCACCACCACGGACTTTTGGCCAGCGGCGGCGGGACGGCGGACCGGTGCATCCGCTTCTGGAACACGCTGACGGGCCAGCCCATGCAGTGCGTGGACACGGGCTCGCAGGTGTGCAATCTTGCCTGGTCCAAGCACTCCTCGGAGCTGGTCTCCACGCACGGCTACTCGCAGAACCAGATACTCGTCTGGAAGTACCCGTCGCTGACGCAGGTGGCCAAGCTGACGGGCCACTCGTATCGCGTGCTCTACTTGGCACTCAGTCCCGATGGCGAGGCCATCGTTACGGGCGCCGGCGACGAGACGCTGCGATTCTGGAACGTTTTCAGCAAGGCGCGCAGCCAGAAGGAGAACAAATCCGTGCTGAATCTGTTTGCCAACATCAGATAAGGACAATAATCCAAGGACCGAAGACTGAGCGAGGCGCCAAAGGCAACACAACACTACACAAAACAAAAGAATATGAAAAGTAAAACCAAGCAAGCAACTAAAACCAACTAATCAACAAGCCTATATGCTATATATACAAACGATTCTTGTTCATCGGTCGTTAGTACATTTTAGTTACCACAGCAGCAATAGTTTAAATAAATTTAAGTTAAGTCCTCTGTATAGAACGGTTATTAGCAACATTTATGTAGGAAAACACATGCAATTTATGAAGAAGGAACATCAATTAATGGCTGAAACAAGAACTGAAAAAAAAACTGAAACTAAGTCTATATAGGCCCATATAAATATATGGAAATTGTAAGTAATTGGATTAATAACAACAACAATACCACACTCACATAATCTATATATAATTTACATATTTTGTTTCTTTTCTTATGTGTCTTTTTTTTGTACACTACACCTAAGAGAATTGGATACATATATATTTTTTTTGCTAGTCCATAAGTAACTAACTTTATTTCAAGCCAACATTTATATCCCCCCATTTCACTCACCACCCACAATCATACCAGAACACACTATGTATATTAAATAAATTTATACAATTTCAAAATGTGCCCAAAAAAGTATGCTTGTTTTTCTTATCCCTCGGCCTTAGTGGAGTTTGAAACCGCGAAACGGTTACGCGGCTTTGGGGCTTAGTGGAGGCTCAATCCAATCGGGTGGAGCCCGTGTGTCTGCTAAAAGCTCTTCTTATTTTTATTCTTTTTGCACTTTTTCATCTTCGATTTCGTGGGCGTGGTCAGGGGCGTAGGCAAGGGCGGCTGCAAAGGGGTTTTTGAACCAAATTTGTAGGCTTTAGAAAGGGGTTAGATTAATTGCAATATAATATAACAATATAGTTTCACTTTCAATTTAATTTTAGGCAATTAAAAGAATTTTCTAAAAGCAAAATACTAGAATACAAGGTTTAAAAAGTGAAATTTCATGGTTTTTTTTCTTTAATCTTTAATCAATAAAAATGGTTGATAAATGGTTTATAAATAGTAATATAATTAATATTAAGACATTTTTCAAATAATTCGTTTTAACCAAAAATCGTAGTTAAATTTACATTTTTAATAATATAAACAAATACTTTTTTCTTGGTTATAATAATTGAATAATATTTTGTATGGCCAAAACCCCCTGGGCCACGCCTCTGGTCGGCCTGCAGCTTCCGCTGGCGACGACGTCGGCGATTTTGTTGTAGTTGTAACTCGGTTTCTGTTTCTTGGCCTGGCTCTCTGCTTTTCGATTTGTTGGTGTTTTTGTTTTCATGATTTTTTCTTGTCTTTTTTTGGTTTTTGGCCAAGTCCAAGTTTAACAGCGCTCGACGCGCCAGAATCAAGTTCAGTTGCGCCGCAAACGCGTCGCGGAAATGTTTCGCTGCTGCTGCTGCAAACCGTCCCAAAGAAATCGAAATTGAAATTTCAGTTGAAATGAATTAAACGAACGCGCCGCCGTCCTGCAATTGAAAGAATTCCTACCAAAATTCCCGCATCCTTGTCAACCGTTAGCAAAAAAAAAACCGATACAGCGAAACGGGAAACTAACCCGTTAAATATTTCACTTTTTCCCCTACCGTTCTCAGGTAAAAATTGTGTGCGTTTTTTTTTTTAGTTTTTAATGTGAAGTGCGTACAGCTGTCCTTGCCGTTTTGTTATGGTTTTTCCTGCTGCTGCCTTTTGAAGGTCACTCACGCACGAAGGCCGCGCCCAGGGGGTGGTGGCCCATGTGGGGGGCGGAATGGCCGAGTGGGCCAAATGTCAAAAGGTGAAGGCAGCCAGGCGGCCTTGGGATTAAAGCACAGCTTTCCCTGCCAACTGACAAGTGAAAGTGAGAGGAATTGGAAGCTGAAGAACATAAAAACAAAAGTCATTTTATAAAGATCGATGATCTAGAATTTTACAAAACCAGGCATATTGTTCTTAAAATTTTAGTTTAATATTTATGATCGTTTACGGAGGATTTTTAATTCTTCCACCAAAAAAATGCTTCCACCAAAAAAAAATAAATAATTTTGGAATATGCCTTAAACTTTAAAATCATCAATCAAAGGCAAGGAAATCCTTTAAACAAAAAAATGTGTTCCACTTGTTAGATTTTAAATTCACAGGACTAAACCAGCATAGTAAAGAATATGATGATATTAAATTATTTTTAAATACGATTTAGTGTTATTAAGTTTTCTAGTTCTAAGAAATAATTAATTAAGATATGTTATTTTGTTCACTCTTTAGGGAGGAATATAATCAGTCCTGAAGTAGTAAAAAATTTAAATACAATGGGAACTTGTAGAGAGGATTAGAAAGCTCTAAATAGAAACTCCGTATTTTCTAGCATTTTTTGAACACAGTATGAACTCTTGATGAATTTTCATGGTTTATCTCTCAAGATTACCCTTTCATGTAGTAATGAAACCCACCACTTGGAAACCCCACCCAGTGTCCCAAAAAAAGTCGTCTCTTCGGAAGAACCTCTTGGCATTTGGCCAGCATTTGCATGTCAAACACTTCTCATCTCGAGTCGGCCGATTTGTGGACATATCTAACTGGCAACTTGGTTAAATATTTGAGTGGTCGATAAGCAAGATCTGCCCATCATTTTTTTGGCACATCCAACATTCAATCCGCGATGGCATTACCTCGACAAGCCGTGAAATTTGCTCAGCGATTAGCACACGTGGATATATCGCATTTGTGCGGGAAGGTCAGTGATTTCTGATTTGTATTTTTTCTGTGGTTTAGTTAAATATTCTTGACCGTTTTCGCCAATTGCGAAAGTCAACAATATGTTCTTGACTAACTTCCGATCGGTTTTACCCATCCCAAAAAAAGTCTAAGAGCTGTGAGAGTCGCTTCCTCTATTTCAGGCAATTAACGCCTTCGTCTTTTTTTCGATTTTCGGTTTTTGGTTTAAGTTTCACTCTGAATCTGAGTCTGAGGTTCCGATAGTATAGACCACCTTTTGTCTTTCGACCTTGAACGGGGGAGGGGGGCGTTCAATGACCGGCACTGTCCAGTTAGCTTTATGCATATTGATCCGCCTTCCGATCGAGATTTGTGCCAACACAAAGACGCGCCTCTGTTTGGCTTTTGATTGGCCCTAATTCGATCGTCTCCGGATGACACCACTTTATGATCACTTTCCCAAATCGCATGCTTCTTATAAAATAAGATATCGCCCCTAATTCGATCTTCTCTTTATGCACTCATAAAAAAAAATCGAAGAATTTCCTTAAAATCTAGAAAATTCTTTCTTGAATTTTTGCCAAAGGCGACCTCACCTTTGTTTCAAGAAATGGTTTTTTTGAAAGGCACCATTAAAACCAGAAAAAATATTTCTTAAAACAAGAAAGGCGATTCTTGTTTCAAAGGTGGTTTGTTTCTTGTTTCAAGAAATTAAATTTCTTAAAACAAGAAAGGGTTTTTTAGAAAGGCACCTTTTAAACAAGAAAAATTCTTTCTTCTTTAAATTTCCCTTCAAGAAATTTTATTTCTTGATTTAAGAAATAATATTTCTTGAAAGGAAGTTTTATATTAACACTGAAACCCTAAAAATAAAATGTAACTTGGTTTTTCTTTTTGCATAATATATTTTTTTACATTTAAAACATTTAACACTTAACATTTAAACATTTTTAAATAACACATTTTTGACTCAAGAAAACATTATTATTACCCAAGGTCTGTTGAACTTCATATGACCTAAGGTGATCCATTTTCTTCGCCTTTCCTCATCTATAAAAAAAGAGTTATTGGGATATCAATGATTTGTTTTTAGATAAATAACTTTTTTGAAATAATGTAATGTTAATAATAGCCAAAATACAAACACGTTGGACAGACGACCGAGAGAGAGGAGCAAGACAGGTAGAAAATGAAGGGTTGAAAATCGAATTTCAGACAGAGAGAGGCACGGGAGAGACACGTACATACATACATATATATTTACATACAGTCCTTTGCGCGAAGGGAGACCGAATGTAAGCAGGGCAGATAGTGTCAGTTTTAAGAAGGTGAAGAGAGAAACGTCGCGACGCGTAGGTCAAGCGAGCGAGAGAGAGGAGCAGAATATGAAAGGGTTGAAAATCGGGTTTCAGATCGGGTGAGCCGCGTACATGCATAGATATTTACATGCATACATAAGTATGTCAAACAAATACAACATATTTTTCTTACCTTAGAAGGTTTTAAAACAAAATTACAGCTTCGACAAACAAATTATTTGGCTGATGCAACTGCAGGTATTTTCACTCTGAAAAATAAATAAAATGCGAGTAATAAGATAAAGTTATTATAGAACTGTACACCCACAAATTTATGTACAAATGTATGTATGTACGTAGCTCTTAGCTAAAAAACAATTCACCTAAATTGGTATACGCTTGGTAAAGAGATTTGAAATGTATCCTTTAATTACATACATACAATTGTACGCCCGCTATACAAAAAATTATATACATATTTACATACCTTAGAATATTCGGAAAAAGGCTTCACCTCTTATCCGCTTGAAAATCACGTCCATCACTCACGAATTTTTTTCACAACTGACGCTCGGGGGATCAGAGAAGTCGGTAGCCGGGTAGTAGTCGGGCCCATGGTGGAACTATACAAGGTGGTCTCGTCAGCTCTGCTGAGGACGTTAAATATGTTTACCTCTCTGTCTCTCTTAGGCGATAGAATGAGATAGCTAGATAGAGACTGACACAAATAACGTCCTCAAAAGAGGGCAGCTCTCGCGACGAGATCACCTTGTATAGTTCCACCATGGTCGGGCCGAGTAGGCCCTTCGTCCCACTTCGTTTTTCTTGTCGTTAACATTCGGCAGCCGAAGGAAGTCAATGGCTACTTTCCTATATTCTAGGGTCATTTCATTCATATATTCAAAGGTGATTTTGTCCTTAAATACGTACAAAAATGTTTTGGCTGCGACGGCAAAACAAGCATATGAGATTTTCATTTTTCTATTTTTAAGAAAAATTCTTTCTTGAATTTTTTCCATCAAGAAAGGTTTTCTGTAATCAAAGGACAATTTTCTAATAACAAGAAATTTTTTTTCTATTTTCAAAGGTAGGCCGATTCAATGGCGAGATTTCCAAAATTTAGAAATTAATTTTTATGAGTGTGATCTTCAATTTGTTAATGATTTAATGGGGTGCTAATTGTGAATATAACAAATATTCATAATTGAAAGTGTTAATAATATTACTTTTTAATATATCAATATTAAAATAATAGATTAATTTATCACAAAAACCCAATCGACTTGAGATGATCATTAGATTATTATGAAAAGATAATTTCTTTCTATTTAAGATATAAATTTTTACATATTTTTTAAGTATACATATGTAAAATTTATAAAAATCCACTTAGCAATTATAACTGAAAACCCTTATCGATTTCTGTATAGAATAGCGGGCTGAACGCATGTATTCTGTACTTAAACTTGACCTCATTTTGTCCAGAGGACAAGGACGGCGATTCCTTTATGAACGGGGCACGTCGGAAGGTAAAGGTCTGTCTGCTCGGCGGCAATTACAGCGATTATCAGCCGAAAGATACAGATACACGGCTGTGACAGTCCGGCAATTACCACGTTTCAACTGGAGTGGAGGGGGGATTACAACTTGTTATTGTGGCTTTTAAGAACCAGCGTTTTCATCTGCAGCGTGACATTCAAAATGCAAACGAACACCTCAGAAAACCAGTTTCGGATGCGTCCAAGTGAAGGGCTTCACCACAAAAAAAAAAAAAAAAAGATAAAAATAAAAAAAAATCCAAAAACAGGAGATCGTTGATTGATGATCCGATCTGTGGACTCAAGACACGCCTGTTGACGCTCAAGATTTTAGTGGACATATCAAAGTTCAAACTTTGACCAAGGTACAGAAACATTCCCCGGGGTTTAACGGCCCCCAAAGCGCCACAGTGAAACCTCCAACACGCGGGTCACAATTTGCCAAATAAAACTTCGGTCATATGGGCTTTGAATTACATGCACTCATATCGTTAAACATTTCGGAAAAGGGTTTTAATTCGTTTTGTCTACACGTTTTTAGCTTACCAAGTAATTACTTTATATTTAATTTTTACACAAAGTTTTGATGGTTACGAAAATAATTAGACTTTCAGGATAGGTTTCTTGGGGTCGGAATAGGTTCTAGATCAGAAATATAAAATCTTATTATAATAGATTAAAGGTACTTACTTTCTTGACCGCAGTTGTGGGTAGTCTAAAGTCATAAGAAGTTTGACTGTAATCCCAGACGATTTGATCCGATGTTGATCTCTTTCTGCTGAGTGACGGCTTAAAGCCAAAGTTATAGTGTCTATAAACGGTTTAAGTATCTGTTTATTATTTTTGTTTTTTTTTTCGGAATTTATTTGGGAGTTTGGTCAATGTACTTGAGGTCTATAAACACTCCGTTGGAATTGCAAGTAAGCGAACTCGATTCGCTTTTGATTTTGAATCTGTTGTTTTCGTTTTCTTTTGCACTGGCGCGATGGAAAGATCGAAAATCGAAAGACTGGCTTATTATGCCATGAAATTAAAAAGCCAAAAAGCAAAAGCATTGACATTGAAAATTATGCGGACAACAGAGATCCAATATGTTTCAGACAAGAAAAAAGAAGAGAAGATGCTTTATAATAATGTGTTTACACAGAGTTACTGGCGTTCACCGATAGAATAAAATGGAATGGTGTGGTAATTGATTACCAATTGTTGTCACTTGTCGGTGCGAATTATTAATGCGAATTGCGATTGATGGAGTCCATAAATAACCATAAATAACATCAAATAACAATTGATCTGCGGGCGAAACAATTCGCGAACGGAGTGACAGCCAAGTTCAACCGATGACAAGGGGGCAAGGCTCCGCCTCTGACTTTTCCCAGGGGCGCAGTGCGATTACTTGCAGGGGGATATTGATAATATCTCAATAACATGTGTCTCTGTCTTTCGGACACATGTTTTTACTGTGTATAAGATTTATTTCCATTCCATTTCAAGACTAACCTTTTGAAACCCTAATCAATCACGAATCAGAGATATATTTTATCGGTCCTTCTTCGAAGAATGTTTGTTTTTTTTTACGAATTGTATTATTATGTATTTTTCTTTAAAATAAATAAGTATGATGTTAATACTTCTTGAATTTGCTTAATCATTTAGTAGTCATTTAAAAATTTGGCTAGGAAGAGAGGTAAAACTCTGAAAAAAACCCCCTTTTTCATATTTAAAAGGCTTGTTAATTAGCCTAAGCCCCTTATTTAGCAGTTTTATGATAGTGAATATACAAAACTTTAAACGAAATTATTTGTTTTCTTTAATTATAGGATATTATGATGTTTAGGGAAACAAAACAAATAAATAGATTAGGACAAATATTTTTATATTTTAAAACTTATTAGGAACAAACCTACGCACATGGTCCAAAGTTCTCACGCTCCCCTCTTTTCCATCCACTTTGCACCTCTCTTCGCCCCAGTTGCAGTGCTCTCTCCCTCTCCCTCCCACGCACAGTGGGAACAAGTGAACAATTGTGCAAACAACATAAATAATACTTACATATAACAATCGGGCGCAAGGTGTCATCATTAATTATTCTCCCGCTTTACAAGCTGAGTGGAACGTGATGGGTAAAATTGTTCCTTGGCCTGGCATTAAAAAAAAGTAACCAGATAATAACGTAAAGTAAACGCCAAGCAAACAGAAGAGAGAAGAATCAAGTTAGCGTTATAGTCATAAATTGTCGTTATTTTTTGTCTTATTTTTTACTATTTTTTCTATTTTGACTAATTAACAGAGCCGGCCTGGCCGGTGACCTTCACCTTTTGCGAGTTTGGCCAACAGAAAAGGTGAGGAAGGCAAAGAAGAGAAGCCAAAGAATTGGTAACAAGCTGACGCCTCCACCTTCAACTGACCCACAAAAAAAAAGAGCGGCGCCGGTCTTCCTGACTGTTTTTTTTTACAATTCAAAAATATTTTTTTTTTGTTTTGCCTGAAGAGCGGCTCTTGGGGTAGGTCACTATCTCGGGGTCTCTTCCCCCTCACCCTTCTCCATCACCAACTTAATACCGTTCGTTCGTAAGCCATTGCCTTTTATTTTGCAAATCGTTTTGCCCGTCTTCGTTTTTTTATCTTTGCCCACGATCATTTGTTTTGCGCTGCCTTTTGTTTTGATCGTTGGCTTTACAGTGGTGCGAAATTATAATCAATCAATCAATTTCAGGCTCCAAAATAATTATAAGAATTTTTTTAGTTTTTTAAGTATTTCAATCAAAAACAGAAAATATAAGAAAAAATTATTGTGAATTCCTCAATATAATTTTTCAAAAATTCTATAACTGTTCAAATCTTAAATATACCTAACCCTTATGAATTTTATTCCGGAATCTTTTCCCAATTAACCCTAAACTAAAGCATCAGTTTTCGTTCACTGTATGTGCAGCATAACAAGACGGCATAAAAATGATAATTTGAGCATATAAAACAAGTGATTATCATAACAAAATGTCAAGCTTTGTTATTCATACATGTAGATGATATTGATAGGGCTTTGCGATGATATCTGCCTAATGATTCATATGATCTTCAATGGACTGGAAGTTATGGACTCCAAACCACTGTGCACAGTTATGGATATTTGATTCTGTTCGTGGCCAGAGGTCATCTACGCGGTCCATAGAAATGCAAAAAGCGAGTTGCGGGCGATCGGATCGGCACTCTGCTGTTAATGATGGCCCACATATCATACCATATACCCTCATACCGTATCGCCTCATTATCGCGTCGTCAGTTCGGCCAAGCAGATCTCGCGCCGGATCGGTCACGCCCCTTCCTTCTCCGAAATCCAAAAGATATATCTGAAATCCGAACCCCCGAATCTTCTTGTTTCTTTCCGGACATCAGTTGGCGCCATGAGGGAACCGCTGCCCGTGGCGGTGGTGACGGTGGTGCTGCTCCTGTGGTTCGGCTCGGCGGTGCCACCCACTTCTGGATCCGCGGTGCTCATCTCCGACATGACCATGAGCGTTATGGTGGAGCTATCCTCCCGCCATCCCTTCTGCAAGATGCACACAGATCGGTGAGTTTACTAACAAATTGTATTTTAAGTTAGATTATTATTATTTTTTAAATAATCATAAACTATTATATCATAGAACTTCCATGAATGTACTTAAATAATATTTGGATTTAGTAACTTATATACGGAGAAGACCCTAAGAATTTGTTGAACTATTATTAAAATTCTTTATAATAATGAAAAATATTAATATTACAGAAAATATTTTCATTTCTTATCTTATAATTCAGAATTATTTTATCTTAGAAATTCCACATATACGGAGAAGACCCTTAGAATTTGTTAATATATTATTAAAATTCTTTATAATCCAGAAAAAGTTTGGTATTACAGAAAATATTTGTATTTCTCATCTTATAATTCAGAACTAATATTAATCCCTATAAAATAATATATCACAATGATTTATATATATTTTTAAAGGAGAAACCCCTTACAATTTGTTGAAATATTATTAAAATTCTTAATAATGCAGAAAAAGTTCGGCATTACACAAAAAAATATTTGTATTTCTTATCTTATAATTTATGACTATTATTAATCCTTATAAAATAATATATCACAATGATATAAATATGTTTTTAAGGGAGAAAACCCTTACAATTTGTTGAAATATTTTTAAAATTCTTTGTGATACAGAAAATGTTCGTTAGAAACTATTTGTATTTCTTATCTTATAATTTAGGACTATTATTATTCCCTATAAAATATTATATCACAATGATATAAATATGTTTTTAAGGGAGAAAACCCTTACAATTTGTTAAAATATTTTTAAAATTTTGTTTGATACAGAAAAAGTTTGTTAGAAACTATTTGTATTTCTTAACTTATTATTGAGAACTAATATATATATATATAATTATAAGGATATAAAATAACATATACTAATCATTATTTCTGTTTCCTCCCCACCAGCGGCGATATCCAGCGGATGTTGCTGCAGTCGGATCCGCGTCGCATCCGCCAGGTGCCGCGCGAGTCGGTGATGGAGCTGGAGGAGGTGTGCCGCCGGCAGGGATCCTACGGCCACGAGTTCCGCGGCGGCCTGGGCTTCATCTATCCGGGTACCAAGTGGTGTGGTCCGGGCACGGCGGCCACCAGCTACGACGACCTGGGCGCCCATGCTCGCGAGGATCGCTGCTGTCGGGAGCACGACATGTGTCCGGATGTCCTCAATGTGGGCGAGTGCCGGCGGGGACTGTGCAATCGGGGGACCTTCACCAGGAGCCACTGCGACTGCGATGCTCGATTCCGGCGCTGCCTGCAGGCGGCCAACACGGAGACGGCCAACACGCTGGGCGCCATATTCTACAATGTGGTGCAGGTGACCTGCTTCCAGGAGCGGAGTCCCTGCTCGGCGCACCAGAGGTTCGAGGACTTCTACTACCGCACCGACCACTGCCCGGCGGAGTTCCGGCAGGCGGATCTCTACGTGCCGCCGCACGGGGACAATCTGATAGCCAAGATCCTGGCCCATCCGCAGGGTCGGGCCCTGGCCGCTCCCGCCTGGTCCGCGCCCGCCAAGTCGACGGCCCGCCGCTGGGGCGTCAAGTTGGCCAGCGTCGGCCTGGCGGCGGTCAATATCCTGCGCGAGGTGGTGCAGCGACCCCGGCTCCTGTGGGACAGCCTGCAGGCGCCGGTCAGCCGGGAGCTCCCACCTGCCGCTGGGTATCGGCAGCAGGGCTATCGCTACGAGCGACCCGGGCCCTCGTCCTACGGATATGGTGGATACGGCTACGGGGGCTTCGATTCCACTTGGAGCTAATGGCCAGGGTTACGAAGGCCCCCGTCCAAGACTGTTCCCTGGATGGGTCGATTCGTTGGTATCTAAACGCCTTTAGCGGTCGGAGAGAAGTCCAAAGAATATTATAATAGCACCCAAAAAAAAAAACGATATGAAACGTAGTTCGGTTTTACATTATTTAAGATCAATTTTAAATTTGATATGCGGCCAGGTAAATTTGAACTGGTTGAAAAGAGTGTTTCATGTAAAAACGATATGGGTTTGGCATGACCTGAAATTTACATGGCCATATCGATTTTACGGGAACATACTTTTTTATGTGTAGGGTTTCAGTCACAAAAAAAGGGGTTTTTGGGGTTTTATTTGTATAGTTTAAAATTAAAATCTTATTGTTTTCGGGATTTTCAAAGTCACATAACTTTAGAAAAGAACTTCTTTGCCAAAGAAAAACGCACTTAAACTAAATTGCATTGTCAACATATCGTCCACTTATTTCCAGATCGTCTTAAGACAAAAGACGTGATTTCCAAGTTAATGACGCAGATATATTCGCTTTATCCTGCTTGGTATTCCGTTGGAGTTTCTTTATTAAAGGTGTTTATTATTCTGGAAAGGAAAAGTTTCATTATCATAGTCTTACCATCTTCGTGTGAATCGAGAATAAGTCGTATTGTATTGTTCTCATACAATACGCATTTAAATTAAATGCTATAAATGGGTTTTTCGCAAGACTCCCTTTGTGAGCAATTGAGTGATATAGGTTTTTAAGGGGATTACAATTTATGATAAAACCAGGGGTTCTTTTAAAAATTTGTTTTTTAATTTTAGAAGGAATTTAATTTTTTTTTGGAATAACTGTTTTAAATCAGAAAATAAGGAAATATTACCCAAACCATTTCGAATATCACATTGGACCCTCTCCGCCCGTTAAATGGTTTGAAGGACCAAAAAATCGACTCACCTCACTGTTCCCGTTTAGTATTAGTAGTCATAAGTTCTAGCCACCTAGCTGCATGTGTGATTGCCATTAATGTTCTGCATGTCCCGTGTTCACTAGTTACCTAGTTCCACCTGTAGTCACCAGTTATCAGTCACCCATAGCTGTGCTGTACAAATAAACTCACTGAGAATCGCATGCCTACGCTCTTTCCTTTCCGGTTATCCGATTTGATTCGATTTGACTAGAGCCGGATACAATCAAACGGAGCAGGAGGCCATCTGCGCCCAGTGGCAGTACCAGCCGTCGGAGAAGTATGTGCCCAGCCAGCCGAGAACCTCCTCTTAAACACAGAAGTTGACGACCTGGACCAGCTCACGGACTCATGGAAACGGTTACAAATCTACAAGGCACTAGATTATCCACTAGCTGTAGTTATCCTCGATTGCAATTCTCAAACCTGAACGCTAACGAAAGCCAAAGATCATAACTAGATGGCGAAAATATAAATATATATTTTCATATATTGAACGCATACAAAACAGATCTATATATATACACGCGAAACGTACATATAAATAAATATATTTACCAAGATCAGAGTAATGGAGTGTTTTTCTTTTGCGCCCAAAGGTATGCTTCTTGGGATTTTTCAGATCGGTTCCTAATTTTCAGTAACCACCCATTGAATCTCTCGGTTATTATTGTACTTTAATGTCCTTCTTGATCTTTATCATTGTAATAAAGAACTTCCCTATTCGACTTTATTTGCGTTATCTTTTCTCTTTCTTGTTGTTAACTTTTCGCGTCGTTTACAAATAATAAAAAAGTATCTTAAATACAAAGTTTTTCTGTGTTTGGGTATGTGGATAAGCCGACTACTTGACCGAAATCATATTCTCAGGGCAAACAAGTCGAACGTTACAAACTGAAATTCATCATAGTATATAAAAGAACGTTTGGGTGGGGTAATGGGCGTTGGTTATTGGGATTACTGCTCCTCCTTTAGGCACGTAGGGCCACAAACTGTTGGAACACCTCCAAAATGTGTGTGTCCAGGTCTGATGTGAATAGCAGCGTCTCCAAAGTGCTGCTGTACTTCTGAACTTGTTCATGGTGCTGCAAGGGAAGTGCCAGTAATTAATATATGATATAGATTCTTAGAAGAAGCTCAATTACCATGAGGAAGACCTGCTGCAGGCGCCCAATGGTCCAGCGGTACCAGTCCGTATCCGGATCGCGGCCGTCCGTATCGGAGCGCAGAAGATGCTCCGAGAGAATCATGATGAATCTCTGGAAGACGATGAGGAACAGACGCTTCTGGTTCACATTCGCCGCCTCCAGTTTCTCCTCCATGCGCTCCACCACCTGTGAGTTATAAAAAAGTTTAGATAAAGAAACATAATCATGATATAGTTAGATAATCTCACCTCCTCTGAGGGTTTGTCAGCATGTGTGATGGGCTTCTTCCTCTTATGCGACGAATCATCCTCCGAATCGCTGGACGAAGAGTCCGCCTTCGCCAGCTTGTCCTTGGCCTCGCTCAATTCGGAATCTACAGTAAAATCATAGATATAAAATCAAATACCTTCAAGAATAAACTCCAAACTCACTCAGCTTGATCACATGCTTGTTCATCTTCTTGATCGTCAGGTGAAGAATCTCCCAAAGATACATTTTGGTAAACTCGCCGGTCATCTCCTTCGAGAAGATCCACGTGGCCACCGCCGAGCAGTCGACGATCTGCAGCTTGAGCAGCTTATCGATCAGCACCACCATCATCTGCTGGTGCGAGGACCACAGCTCGAAGATGTTGTGCAGGATGCAGATCTGTGCCTCCTCCGTTTCGGCCAGGGCGCGGAATACCGAATGGAACTTGGAAATGGCCGCAAAGCTGTGCGAGAACGACTTGGAGCCCAAGTTCAGCAGCGTCTGAACGAATACATCGATTTTCAAAGCATTGAAACTGCCGTCGGACATCTCCTCGCCGCTGTAGCCGCTGCTCGGTATGTCCTTCAGGATGTTCACCACCTCCTCGGGCGTGCACTTCTGCCGGATGGCCACCACCAGTTGATGGGCCACCGTTGTACCCGGCAGACTTGCTGTTTTCGCGGGGAGAAAAGCAGAGAGAGATTCGGTGAGGAAATGATTCAGATAATTTGTTTACATGCTGCTGCCCTATATTTTTCGGGGTATATTGGTTTTAAGATTAGGTTAATATGGTATTGCCATCTCCTTCTAATTCAGTTGTAAGAACTTATAATATTCTTTTATATTAATTAAATTATATCTTTTACTTTTTTTTTTGAAAAATATGTATATTTTGAGATGGTATATGGATGATATTGTGGATTATAGCTTTAAAATTCTATCTTATAATTTTATTGAAGAAAATGTATATTTTGAGACGGTATATTGTTGTGTTTAAAATTCTATTTTATACTTTTGTTGAAGAAAATTATTATTTTTGCGATGTTATATGTATGATTTTATATATACATACACATAATCATTAATATTGGTTTGTTCTTCTATAAGTAGATAAATACCCTTAATTACTGATTTTATAAGGGACTCTTTCGATATATTTTATTTTATATATATTTATTTTAATAAAGAACCCCATCGTCGTTAGACTTACGACCATGTTGCCCCTAGTTAGGTGACACTTTCGTTGCAATTCGCATTTCATTGCTTGGTTATGTGGCTCATGGCGTGGAACCAAGCGGCACCACTCCACATGGAGACCCAAGTATACACAACACCACCGAATAAATCCACTTGAGCTCTGAATGAGCTCTGCGTGGTGCGTTACTAATGACGGTTGTGCTCCAGCTCCGCATTTCCCCGCCTGCTCCCCGATTACATGCAGTTTATTGGCACTTACGTCAATTATGTCAAAGTGGAGATCGGATCGGGAAGGGTTGTCTTCTTCTCGGGGGAGCTAATTATGCGGCCATTTGGCAAGCCAATGTATTGGCAAATACGCAATTCATTTGCCCAAGTCATTAACTGATTTTCACCCCGGGTGGTTGGGGATAATTACCCAGGAATTATTTCAGGATTATTCAAAAATATTCCTTGAATTCGGGGTTATAAGCTGGTTTACTTAGTTATATTATTTTAAAAAAATATTATCTTCTATTCCAAAATTAAGAAATTCTTCATAATTATTTTCAAGCACTCTTCAAAACCTTCCTATCACCAGTTTTAACCTTTAGTTCGAAACCCCAAGAGTTCCAACGATCTCTAGACAATGTCAATGGTTTGGGAGTTTGCATGTGTCAAGATCATGCGATGGTTTTTGTTTAGCAGGCAGTGGAAAAATTCGCACATATTCGGGGGCCCCATAATAATAATAACAGCATATATGTACGGTTCGTACCCCCAAAAACCCCGACTATCCAAGCCATCGCCTCCAAATAACTTCACTTAAAAGCCAGAATTAAAGATGTTTTCACGGGAATCTGATTTCCAGCTCAAATTGAGCGTATCCAAAAGGGGGAAGTACTTTCGTAGTTCAATGTTGACGAGTGGGTTTGGCTCGGTTCATCTTATCTACCAGGTCATCGCGAGTTCGGAACAGGAAAGCCAGAGCAGAGAACCCCGGCAAGGTGAAATCGCCATACGGAACCGCCAGAAGAGAACGCCAAAAGCGAGGGATTCCAAAAAGAGGAGTGGGTGGTTTTCGTCGAAAGGGAAACTCCAGCCAAGCGAACCACAACTCATATCTCAATGGAAATCTAAGGCAAAGTTTTGGGCTTAAATGGAGGCTATAGCCAAATTGAAATCAAACTCAAGAAGCACAAAAAGATCTAACGTTATTTTAATGGTTGAATATTTTATACCCTCTTATGTTTGGAGGTTTTTAAAATCAAATGATTGTAATGAAAAAAGAATTTAATTATATTTGGTATATAATAAATCCTATTAAACCATATTGTACCGAAATATAATTGTAAAATAATATTGTAATATTATGATATTATATTGATGGTATTTTAAGGTTTTTAAAGACTGTAATTGGTAACAAATATATTTAAGAACTTCAATCCAGGGACTTTTTTAATAGCGTTAAACATGGTTTTCAAGAGCTATTGTAAACATTTGAAATATGACCAACTTCCCAGTGGCTTTTAAAGGCCTCTATTGTTTTTAGGAGGGTATCCAGACGTGCTCCACATCCACACACATGCTGGATTACAGGTTAGATGGGTGTGTTGGTGTACTGGTGATCCGCCCTCCAACCGAGAGTGTTGCATAAATGCCTCCGATTCCAGCGACTCCAACTTCTCTGGGCTCTGGGCTATGGACTCCACTCCAAACTATGCAAAAAGCCAAAGAAGCTAACGAAAAGCACACACACACCACACATCGTCGGCTGCAGATTGCGCAAAAAGCCTCCGCCGCCGGCGACGCATCGCTTGGCTGCCCCAACGAAAGCAGTGGATGGATGGAGTTGGCTGATGGCCACAGAAGCTACCAAAGCTACAGAAGCCGCCACTCCAGACGTCATCGTGGATTATTAGCGAGCGCAACTGGCGGACGCGTTTCAGTCGCGTTTCCAAGCGCGCGCAGCTCAAACGCATCTTAGAAAATCGCTGCCGCATTCGTTTACTTATTTTCTGTGACTGCTTTTTGTTTTGTGTGCGGATATCTATTTTCCGATGTGCTATTAGCCCAGACAATGAGGAATCTTTGCTGGCTTCTTGCTGTTCCCATGGCAATCGTAAGTGGATAGGCAAATCATCGACAAGTGGCTGAGAAAACAGGGATCTTTAGTTTGGTGAAGAATCCAAAAGTTTTTTTATGGTTTTTTAGTCGTAACTTGAACAGTTCAAGGCCTACAGTTAAAAGACCGCCTGTTTTAAATATCTAGTGACCTGTACTAAAAATCCCCATCACTTTCTTAAAAAAAATGTTTTTTCATAAATTTTTGATCACAATTTTTTGCGAAAAATGACAAAATTAAAAAATTTCTAAGTTTAAATGCTAATCGTTAGGGAATTTAATCACAAGTTCAACAAGGTACGACATTCGATATTTGGATCTATATTTCCATTGTTACGACCAAAAAACTGATATTTAAGGATGAAAAATATGGATTCGAATTTTCGACGAAAATAGTCCTTCAAATTTAAAAATTTCTAGGTTTGAATGCCAATCGTTAGGGAATTAAATCACGAGTTCAACAAGGTACGACATTCCATATTTGGATCATTATTTCCATTGTTATGGCCAAAAAACTTAGAAATTTAATTAAAAAATCGTTGTGCTATTTAAATGGTAGTGATCTTCCAGTGGTCTTCTTTTTGTAAATTATAGAATTTATAATATTCCATAGGATATTAGAGCTTTTAATAATACCTACAATACTTTTCTTTCGAATGTGTATCTTGGTTTATAAAATAAAGAATATTTATAATGTAATTATGGTATTGAAAAAACACTCTAATGACAAAAATAGCCTTTTATGTGTAATTTTTAGAAAAGTGTTTATGGATTTCCATAGACTGTTTAAAATATGCTTGAAGATAAGTTTCTGGGTGTTTCTACATTAATACCCCGTCGTTTTTAGCTGCCCCTGGGCTCGGCCATTGTGGGCACTGGACGGGATTTTCTGCTGACGCCGAAGCAAGGACATCAGTTGACGGGCAAGCGGATTTTCTACGAGGAGCCTGTGGAGGAAAGGACGCCGAACCAGAGGCGCAATTCCTTGGAGCGTCCTTGGGAGCGAACTTTGAAGCATGTCACGTATGTGACGCTCTTCACGGACTCGGCCGTTGGCGCAGCAGCCGGAAACCTGAGGTAAGTTGATCTAAAATCCCTTGTGCTTCTATGGTAAAACTGAAGTTTATGCTCTGGCAGTCAGCTGCATGAGTATCACGACTTCCTGCAGACTCCCTATGTGCCGGCGGATGTCCAAAGTGGAGGAGCTTCGCTGGGAGGAGCGCCGCCGTCGTCGCGTTTCGGGGATATTATCACCCTGGCCAAGGGATATTTGGAGCAGGTGCCGTCTGGCCAGGGAAATGCCTCCTCCTATCGCTTCCTCGAGGGCGGCACGTGCTTCCAGCTCAAGTGCCCCTCGCCGAATCCCAACCAGCGGCGGGCTCTCTGGCAGGTGCAGCGCATCCGCCATCGGGATGGCGAGCAGGGTCGTCACTACCACTACGAGATGAAGTTCAGTGTGACGCCGCTGGATGCGAAGGCCTGGCAGCCGCACCATCCGATGAGCTACATCCAGAAGGAGTCCGATTATCCGGGCAGTTTCAAGCGTTTGGCCCACGATCAGGGATTCCAGAGGCGTCAGGATCGGGAGAGGTATGCAGCCGAACAGCCGCAGGCCACCTTTGTCCATGGCATCTTTCAGCCCGCTCCTCCTAATCCTCCGCCGAAGCTGAACATCGGTGAGTACTTGAAGGGAGCGGTGGCTCAAGGGAGTCCCAAGCTGGAGCTCTTCCCGGGTCTCTTTAATCTGGGACTGCGTCCCAATTACGTGGCCCCGACGACCTTTCGTCCCAACTATCCGGCTGCCTTGAAGTTTGTGCCTCATCCGGAATTGGAGAGGTTTCCCAGCAGCCACAATGAAAGTCCTGGTGAAGTGGGTGCCACGCCGGGCGCCGTAACTCATCACTTTCATCACCACTTCTATGTGGCTCCTGGAGCAGAGCCCGAGTATCATCGATTGCCTGGCTCCTCCTCCTCTTCATCTCCTCCTGAACTGACCACGCCTTCTAGCTTTTATCCGCATCACCAGACCGTCCAGTTTCCCAGCTCGAATTCCGGTTCATCGGAGTCTCTGGAGGAGCAGGAGCAGGATTTACTCCTCCGCACACCGCAGATCTATGGACAGGCCTCCAAGTACCAGACGGCCAAGCTGCCGCCGCTGCTGATCTATCCGGGTAGTCCTGATGAAGACAAGTCCTTTGTGCACAGCGAGCCGCTGGAGGAGACTATCTATCGGTATTCCGAACCGGATCCCCTGTATGTGCACCAGAATCCCATCGATGTGCTGCAGCAGGACAAGCAGGAGCAGGATCAAGAGCAGGAGCAGGAAAGAGGGGAACTAATTACCACCAGTGCACCGCCGAGTACCCAAGAGCCCCAGGAACCGTCGACCACTAAAGCCACAACCACTGAGCGCAGCACTCAGGTGATCCCCACAACAGCGGCCAGTTTCGTGTCCACCTCCACGCACTTTAGTCCCCTGCGCTCCATCAGCAGATATCGCACCACACCGAAGATAACTGCCGGTCGATCGACCACCACAACCACTTCGACCAGCACGGAACCACCGCTAAACAAGTGGGCCAAGCGGCGCAAGGAGCAGCAGGACAGCAAGGGGAAGAGCAGCCTTCGCCACGAGGCCTTCGTCAGCACCACTTCGACTAGTACTTCTACTACAACCACTACTCCAAGTCCGCCTCCAACTACGACTGCAGCTACTCCACCACCTGATCCACCCGCTCCTCCCAGGGAGGTGGTGGAGGTGCTCACCCAGAAGTCGGTCAGCCGCTCGGTGAGCATCAAGGTGGGCGAGAACGGCGAGGAGATACCTATCATTGTGGACGACGAGGAGAACGAGGTGAAGCCAGTACCAAATAAATAGCACCCTATACTTAATAATCTTATAAGTAAGCCTAGTCTTAAGCAGACTTAATCACAGGGTTCGGAAAATAACACTTGTGTTATTAATATGTTAAATGTGTTAAGTTCAAACAAAGTTATTGACTTGTGTGTAAAAAATTGTATCCTACATATGTTAGAAACATAAATAACACACTCATGCCAATTGTGTTATTAACGCGACGTGTTTTTTACACAGCGTGTTTTTTACACCATGAGTTTTTGACATTAAAGTGTCAGAATTATATGTTGAACTGAAAAATTCACGGTTTTCTAGAGTATAAAAATTCACATATGCTTTGAAATATATGAGATTTCATGTCCTATATTAGTTTTTCAATAATATGTAATTTTCATTTGTGTAGAAAAACACATCGTGTTAATAACACATTGTGTAAAAAACTCAAATGAGCAATGTGTGTCAATAATTATTTTTCACATTTGAACACCTTTGTATTTGACACAAATGTAAACAAATTTAAAAATTTTTTAACATGTGTGTCAATTTCCGAACCCTGACTAAATCCCCAAATAAACTAAAGTAATAAACTCACCTGCCTCCTCGTTGGCGTACTTGTAATTGGGCACGGGCGTCATGGGAATCAGCTTGGCGTACGTCGTGGGCATCATCTCGGTGATGCGCTGGTGATACGAGAGGCTGGAAAAATATATATTTACATAAGTTCAAAAGATCCTGCTTTAAAAAAAAGCCTCCCAACCCACCGCAGGCACTTCTGCAGCACCTCCTGGATGAACTTGGGCCGCGGATGCTCGCCGTCGAGCAGCAGGCAGCTGTCCCACTCGTCCCACGACCAGGTGAACTTGAAGTTGCTCAGATGGTAGGAGAACCAGTTGACGAAGCGGTCGAAGCACGAGGTGTTCATCGAGTCGATGCGCATGAACAGGATCTCGGTGGCCTGGGCCAAAACCTGAGGCAGCGTGGCCGGCTGCAGCTTGCAGAGCTCGATCAGGATGGAGCCGTAGCAGATGTCCAGGTAGCGCGGCGTGGGCATGTGGAAGAGCTCGGCGAAGATCACCTCGACGATGCAGTACTCGAGCGGTATCTTGTGCTTGAACGGGAAGCTCAGCAGCTGGGCGGCGCAGTCCTTGCGCTCGTGATGGTACGTCTCGATGATATGATGCAGATGCTCCTCGATCAGGAAGCGCTCGATCGAATGGGCGCCGGGCAGATTCGGTCCGTCGGGGCAGTCGGTGTAGTCGAACATGCGGTAGACCACCCAGGGCATGGGGTACTCGAAGTTATCATGATGCGGCGGCGGCACAATCGCGGGCAGATTGTGCTGCAGTGCCTCGCACAGGATCGAATCGAAGACCAGGTAGGGACGCGGTATATGCTTCTCCGCCCAGTTGTCCTGGCGCAGCTTGCGTATCTGCGCCCACAGGCAGTCCAGGTACTCCTCCTGCGGATGCGGCGCGTCCGAGGACCACACGCGCAGCGCATTGTGGTGCTTCTTCGAGCGCTTGTTCAGATAGACCTCGATGCGCAGCAGCAGCGACTCCAGCGCCGACTCCTTCTTCTCGTACAGATCGCGGCCCACCCAGGGCAGCGTGGAGAGCACCGCAAAGACGAACCAGTCGCGGCGCACCTGCGGCACCGTGTCCTCGTTGGACACATCGATCATGGTGTCCAGCAGCTGGAGCAGACTGGTGGCCGAGATGACGTGGCAGTTGACCAGATCGGCCAGGAAGCGCAGCGAATAGCGGGCGGCATCCCAGCGGCAGAGCTTCAGCGACTCCTTAAACGTCTTCACCATGTGGTCGACGAACTCGCCGCCGAATTTGTAGTTCTTGGCATTCAGTAGACCAACTAGCGTAGTGTAAACAGTGCACTTTTCGGGCATTCGCACGGCGCAATCGGAAAGGATGCGCAGGATCTTGAGGCGGAAGGTGCCCAGGTCGGCCTCCAGCACGGAGACGAGTCCCTCCAGGTTGGACTCCACGGAGGAGGTGCTGCGCTCGCCCACGCGCAGGATGAGCGACTCCAGGCGATCCTCGATCTCCTGGTTCTCCGACACGCGCCTCCGCTTGTTGCGCCGGTGATCTGCAAGGGATTTCGGTTCAGTTCTGGCAGGGATTGTATTTATATGGATTCCCACTCACCGTAGCCCTCATCCTCCGTGTCGTGTGCCCTCCGGCGACTCATCTTGCCGCGAATTCGTTGCGAACTTCCCAAAAACACCGAGTAGCGTTCCCTGGCCACCGGCTCACACTAAAGCACGCTGCTCGAACTGGACTCTTGCGGCGATCCTGGACGGGATTCGGTTGGCTGGCAATCCTGCCGCTGCGCTAAGTTCTCCTTTAGCGAGTGCCAATTAGCGGGGCAACTTTCGAAACGCCCTTGCGACAATTTTCACGGAAAAAACGCGATGCTTCTTTTTTTGCCAGGCCAGCGATTGGCGGGTTTATCGATAACAGCGATGAGCGGCGGCCGCAACGTGGTCAGGGGTGGGCAGAAAGGGGATTGGGGTTGTAGGCCCCTTAAAATTTAATTAAATAATTATATGGTTGTTGTAAGTTTATTACTATTATAATATTACAGTAAAGTTGTACATAAATAAAAAAGTAAGTCATAATATATAACGTGTATAATTTATAATTACTTGACTTTAAATATATTTAAACAAATCAAATGTATTATATTTCTCCTTTACACCAATTTATTAAGTTATTTTTCGTACTAAGGGCTAAATGTAGGTAAATGGTATATAGATATATTTTGTTCAATTGTGTTCTAAAGTTTGTTGAAGTTGGAAACTTTTTTCATTTTAGTTATTCAATAAAACGCTGAAAATTAAACTAATATATCATAAACAGCTAAAATGTCTGTTATAAAATACTTGATAGGCAGCTGATTTAATTCCTAAAGCCTAAAATACCCCACATAATTAAAAACAAATAACCCCCAAATCCATAACCCTCTATTGGACCCGCCACTGCCCAACTATCGATACCGGCACCAGTAATCGAATCACGAGGCGCGCTCTTTGTTGCACGTATCGATAGGCCTCTTACAGTTTAACGATCCCAGTCAGCGAAGTGCAACCGATATGCGCTTTTTATCCATTTTGCCACTGTGCCTTAGCCTCCTGGCGACCCTGCCCCGGCCCCTCGAATCCCTGGAGCCGCTGACGATGGGCGCCATCGGTTTCGGGGCCCTGGGACTGGGCACCTACTTCAAGGAGCACACCTACTGCCGGTTCGCCGAGTGCTGCGATGACCGCAGCATTCCCGCAGATACATACGGTGAGTTTTATATACATATGTGTGTGGGTTAAATCTAAAGTGGGTATTCCCCGGCAGCGTTGGCCGCCTCCCTGTCGCACCACCTCTTCGGGCAGCACATCGTCGCCCAGCATGTGGTGCCCGCTATCAAGGCGCATGTCGGCAGGCACAGCAGCTCCAGGAAGCCGCTGGTCATGAGCTTCCACGGGCAGCCGGGAACGGGCAAGAACTTCGTGGCCGATCTGATTGCCCAGGCGCTGTTCCTCGAGGGCTCCAAGTCGGGCTACGTGGCCAAGTACCTCGGGCAGGCGGACTTCCCGCAGGCGGAGCGGGTGGGCGAGTACAAGGCGCGAATCAATCGGGAGGTGCGCCAGCAGCTGCGCTCCTGCCCGCGCTCCCTGTTCATCTTCGACGAGGTGGACAAGATGCCCAGCGGCGTCTTCGACACGCTCACCTCGCTGGTCGACTACAATGCCTTCGCCGATGGCACGGACAACACGAAGGCCATCTTCATCTTCCTCTCGAACACGGCGGGCAGTCATATAGCCGATCATCTGGGCAACCTGATGAGGGGCGGCAAACTGCGCGAGGATACGCGACTGAGTGACTTTGAGCCGCTGCTCAAGAAGGCCGCCTACAATCTGGACGGCGGACTGAAGAAGACCACCTTGATCGAGGCCCATGTGATCGATCATTACATTCCCTTTCTGCCCATGGAGAAGGCGCATGTGGTCAAGTGTCTGGAGGCGGAGTTCCGCCGGTGGCATCGCGATCCCAATGCCGCGATCATCGACGAGATCTTGAGCTCCTCCATCAGCTACGATCGCACGCACGGCCTGTTCGCCATCTCGGGCTGCAAGACGCTGGAGAAGAAGGTGGCCATGGCCATTAATTAGGGAAGAGCGAAAGCGAAAACCACTGTGATGCCTCCTCCACGAAGTGTTTTTTGTGTATTTTTTTAAAATATTTTAAGGAATAAAGTGAACGGGCATTTAACTACCAGGGATTCAGCCACTTGAGGCGGGCATCCTTGCGCAGCAGGTCGGTGTCCAGTCGCCGGGGCTGTTCATCGTACTCCCGTCGCGCCTCCAGGCGGCTCTCGATGGCTCCCAGGTCCCTGGTGACCAGGCACTCGCCGTTCTCCTTGAGTATCGTGTGCCGAACGTCCTGGGCGGTGGGTTCTCCGTAGGGAAACGTCACCGGGGTGACCTTAACCAAGTGCTTGACCTTCCACAGGCGCGCGTTATTCTCCGGGATGTTCTTGACCACCGTGAAGTCGCTCTGCTTGCCATCGAGGCCCAGATCCTTGAGGATTCGCTTCTCCCAGTAGGGATTACCCTTCACCGGCTTGATGCGCTGCACCCGGAAGAGTTTCGCCGGCTCCACGGGCGGATCCTGGTGATCCGAGGTCCTGAAAACACAAGGCAATCCTTTAGAAAACCTCAATTTCTATATTTTGACCAAAGAACCCACCTGGGATAGTAGGTGATTCCCTCGAATTTCTGCCCGTCCTTGTACAGGAACTTCTTGTTGTGCTTTCCATAGCTGCGCACCGACCAGGTGCTGCTCCTCAGCGGGGTCAGCAGGCGACCGAGGTTCATTCTAAGTGATTATATTAATTGTTTTAATATTGCAATAAATAAAAACAGCCTCCTCGCTGCTGTTATGAAATTATTCCAAGTGGTCACTCTAAAAACATCGATGAGCGGTTTGATATCGGTTTAAGGCACTTTCGCACACTGTCAAGTTAACATTATCACTCCACTGTTAAAAAACTTACTAGGCGCTAAAATGTTAACCGCTTGCTGTTAACCGTAATGTTTGAATCAAATGGCGGCAAAAGTGTAAGATATAGTAAAAAATACAAATAAAGAGACAAAATAATTACTAATATATAATATTGAATGCAATTTAGTTATACTTTCGAATTTCCTTATAAAAACAAGACTTAAGATTGATATTCAAAAAAGTAAACAGCATCCAGGGGTTGAAAAAGGGGCGGTCTCTTAGAGAAATCACCGCCATTTTGTCAACTACAATTGGCGCTTGTCAACCAGGGTGGTTTATTTGGCATTGGCGGACTTTCCACAAAATGGGGGATGTTTTCGTTTTGTGCTATAAAGGAAGCTGCAGCTTCCTGACCGGAAGTCAGTTCGATAAGCGTATCCTTCAGGCGAACAGCCAACAACAGTGAATAACAAGGATATCTTCGAGCAAACTTTGGGATCTATACATACTCTGCACCTGTGACTGCTGTAAGTTTAAGTTTTAAAGTGTTTTTCCTTAATTAAAAATTGTTAGGTGTGCTTTTAGGAAAATCTACGACAAACGGATAAAAAATTAAAAAAAAAATTGTTTTTAAATGGTTCAAATGTATCAAGTTTTTTTGTATACTAAAAATTGTGATGAGCTTTTAAAGTGCTATAAAAGCGGCAAACAACTGTTAAAAAATGAAATTAAACTTATTTTTAAAGTGATTTTAAAAACCAAATACCTTTAAAAATAGCTACGAAAAGCAGTAGCAAACTTTTAAAAAATTAAAACTTAAAGTTTATAATTTAAATATATTTTGGTTAAATAAATTATTATAGATTTAATTTCATATCCAAAAAATTCATATATCGTTAGAAGAATAAATAGGAAGAATTTGTATTTTTATTGTGCCCTTTTCGACATTAAGTACTGCAGTTTTAGAATCCCTGGGGATTTTATGTGACACCAGTGAAAGTTGTTCAAACTAGATCGGATTTCCATCGATTCGGCGACACCGACTCCTTCCCTTTTCCGAAAACAAAACCCAAGAGAGCAATGCTCACGTCTTTGACTTGATGCAATTTGTGCGACTTTTCAGAAAATCCCATTAAATCCATACACTTACGTACATATATAAAATCATAAGTAAACCGCAGGAACACAAAAGGGTTCCCAAGTTGAGGGGTTACGATTTCTGAGGTTTGCCAACTCCCGGGGGCAAGTAAACGTGCCGATTGTTCAGCTATTTGTGTAGGTGTGAAAATATGCTGCGAATAAACAATAAGCACAATGAGTACAATAAAAATAAATGAAAATAATAGCAAACGCAAACAGAATAGGACGAAAGGGGTGTGTCCTGCGAGGAGGACGACGCACACGAGCATGCACACCCCTCATCACAAATGTCCACAAATGAACCATAAATAATGCAAGTGGCGAACTATTTGATTTGGGGTTCTGCAGCTTAAGGGGTTAAGATTTATTAAAAAGTAACAATTATTTAAGGTTGCTTTATATCATTTTGATTTACACTAAGATTTGATTGGGAGAATTACAAAAATATTAAGAGATTTTCCACTTTAAAAATGGTAGCCTTTTGGTTATTTAATCGTTTTTTTTTTTTTAAACCTGAAGTAAAAATAAAAATGTTAATGTATTTGTTTGGAGAAGGGTCACCAAAACACTTAAAGCTATAAAGCTTAAAAATCAGATTTTGTTTAGCGATGTTATAGGCTCTTAAAGTGCACTTTTGGGTCACCTTTTTTTTGTAAACCTGAAGAAAAACAAAATTGTTTATATAGATGCTTGGAGAAAGGCCTCCAAAACTTGTATACTTTAAAATTGGATTTTCTTTAGCGAACTTATAGGCTTTAAAAGTGCAGTTTTGGGTCACCATTTCGAAAACTTTTCAGTACTTCAATTCTGTTGATCTAACCGGTGATTTTTGTTTCTTTTCCAGCTATCAGGAGCAGGCAAAGGAAAAGCCAAGGGAAAAGCCAGAAAATGGTCTATGATATGACCCACATGGCGGCTGGGCCGCCGCAGAGCATTGCGCTGAGTCGCTACTACCTGCCCGACGAGGACGAGATGGTGGGCCCGAACAATCCGCATCTGGTCAGCGAGGACTATGCGGCCAGCACGACCCTGGATGTCGACAAGCGGTTCCAGGCGCGGATGGCCTGTGAGACGGCTGCCCAACCGGCTCCTCCGCCGCCGCCCACGCCGGCACCCCGCCGCCGGACGACGCCCATCGCCCACCTGGATCCCTCGGAACTGGTGGGCCTTTCGCGGGAGGAGCGACGTCGCAGGAGGAGGGCAACCCTTAAATATAGGACAGCCCATGCGACGAGGGAGAGGATCCGCGTGGAGGCCTTCAACGTATCTTTCGCCGAGCTGCGCAAGCTGCTGCCCACTTTGCCGCCGGACAAGAAGCTCTCCAAGATCGAGATCCTCAAGCTGGCCATCTGCTACATTGCCTATCTGAATCACGTGCTGGAGACGCCCTGAGACAGCGCCGGCGCCTCCAGCTTCGCCACCAGCTGCCTCTTCAACGAGGCCAACTTCTTCGCCCCCCCGTAGGAGGTGGGGGGGCGGTGCACCCGAGATCGGAGGTCGGGAGAGGAGGTCATCTTATATCAGATGACGCCCTTGGCCCACCGATCAGGGTGTAATATTATTTTTAACCAGAGGTTAACCGCAGGTTGGTAAACTGGATGTCAGTAGAGGAGAGGTATTAGTTTCGGCACAAAAATCGGGATGTTAAGTGAAGTGGTAACCTGCACTTGAAACTAAAACTACTAACTGACCGGCTATTTAACCTACACTTGTAACCACTGGATGGTAAACTGTTGAGAAACTGGGTTGTCCAGTACACATTTTTGTTTCATTTTGTATCTACATTTTTTTGTATAGATATACATGTTCCTAAGACATGATAACTTATTATAACAACGTTTAACCAAAGGTTAAAATGCTTATTATAATTTTATAAATAAAGTGTCCACTTCCTGTAAAGAAAAACGCGGAATATGGCAATATAGTTTATAAGTTAATTTTGTACATTTATTTAGCTGCTTAATAATTTTGAAAAAACCCATTAAATTAAGTAAAAATGTAATACAAAATTATCCAATGCAAAACTTAGCAGAAACTAACCCAAAGCTAATAAAAAATTCGAGAGAATTAATGTAATATAAATATATAAATACTTGAAAATATATGATACAAATATAACAATATAACCAGTAAAAATACTTAATGTAGGACTAATACCTTTTTTTGTCTAGCCCTTAAGTCGTGATATTTGTTTATAATCTAACTAAACTGTGTGTGTTGTTTAGCCAGTCAAACAATAAATATAAATATTGCATAGTAAAAAGAATAAAAATCTTATTCATGGGTTAATTTAAGTGTTTTTTCGCTTTTATCAACCTTCTCCACTCAAAATTTCCCCCTGACTTTTGGACCTCAGCTGCTGTGGCTGAGTTTTCCATTTGTTTGGACGTTTTGCTCGGAAAAGCCAGATGCTAACCACCCCCACCACCCCCAACCTACTTATCCCCACAAAAGCGGGCGTGTCCTTCGAGAAAAGCTCCGCCCTTTTTGACAAACAGAGTGGGCTGTGCCTCGCTTTTCATGTTCAATCTGTATTTTAATGACAAAAAATGTGTACATTTTGTTTTTAATTTAATTTACAAATTCTGAAGCTAAATTTTAAGGATGGCCTTTCATTTTAGCGCCCAGCAGGTGAGCTTAAAACAAAAACACCCTGTATTTCGGTTTATTGGGAGGCTGTATTCTATATCTATAAATAACGGCCTAATTTGGTTGGTACGGGTAACGGTATATCCGTACATATATATACAAATCCATGGATGCATTCATTTTCGCAACGATAATAACAATAATAACAACAACGTGGCAATGGCAACCACTTCGATTCCTTGCCATCCCTTTCCATCCCGTTAAAACGAAGCCTGCATTCCGACAGTCTGCCGTTTGTCTCTGTCTGAGTGCTATTTCCGTCGGTGTGGGTGTACACTGTACAGACGTCCATAAACAAAAACAACAGCCAGGCGACAAAAGGGGTTAGGTTGTTGTTTTAAACTAATTTAATTTTAAGTTGTATAAAAATTCAAAAATCGGGACAAAATGGAAAAAAAAATTTAGATAAATATTTCTATTGTTTCAGCGAAAAAAGGGTTTGTTTTTTTTCTTTGATAATTCAGGATTTTTTTTACTGTAACTTGGTCAAAAATGGTCCTACAACAAAAATACATACTGTTTTGAACATATAACTAAACAATAAATAAATCCATGACTCTTTCCGGGTGATCCTGAAAAAATAAAATTTTCGCCAATTTTTGATTTTTTTATAAGGGGGTACATCATGATTTTTCACGAAAAATGGCCAAAAATTAAAATGTCAAGGTTTAAATGCCAATCGATTGGAAATTTAATAAAGAGTTCAGAAAGGTGCGACAATCCACATTTGGACTATTATTTTCTTTCTTTCGACCAAAATACTGATTCGTTTTAGTGGAAAATCTGGATTTGGGTTTTTTGGCAAAAAGAAGATATTTTAAAGGTTGTTTTCTCTTCCACCTGTTAAATTTAAACTTATTTTCGTTGTTAAAAAGGGGAAACATAGTTTGTAAAAATTAATATAAAAAATGTTTTTATTTTTTTTGGCATTAAGGCATTAAAATTGCATAACTTTTGAAAATATGTCGCCTGTTTTGGGGCCTTTGTTTTTGAGTGACGTACGCATCCCGTAACCGTTACCGTTACCTTTACTCCCCTTTTTTGTTCGCCCTGTTTGCACATTTGCAAATAGCGACAGTTAAAGTTTATTTACTTGGTAACGGTAACTTTGGACCAGGCCCTGTGCCCTTTTGGCCCCCTTCGATTGCCACGCAACTCGATTTCGGAGTCCAGAGTTATTTCCCATATACACACACAATCGCAACGGAATCGGTTAACTGAGGAGGTGAAGGAATTTCGAATCGGATTTTGAGGAAAATATTCTATTCTCGAGATTGGAATTGAAAAACCTAATGGTTTTCCAATTGGCCGAGACGACAGCTGTTTGGGAAATTGATTGGATGAGCCGCAGGAGCAGGAGAACCACAGGATACGGGACTTTGGACCAAAGGACATTCGGTGGCAGAGCGTGAAATTAGCTTAAGTGTTTGTCGCCTCGACCAGGACAAAGGAAAAAAAGGAAATAAGTGAGGCAGGAGGACTCTTACCACCCGTAAGTCCTGATCTACAAGTGCGACGGGAGATACGATACAAGAGTACCTTATAAAACAACCCGAACACAACCCACACCAACCCATCCATCCTTGCACGTGTTTTCCAACTAGCTTTTTGACTGTCTAATCCAGAGGATGCGGATGCGGATGCGAATGCAAGGACACCATGTGATAAATTGCACCCCAGAGGGTTGCCATAAAAATCATCGCTTCGCCTTCCAGAGGGGTGACCTCTACACACTCACAAGGGGTGCAAACTATCCTATCTATTCTATTTCTATTTTATTCGATCCTATGGCAATCTTAATCACAATCCCATCCATCTGGGCCAAGTGTTGTAATCGGGTGTCCGCTAAACGCCAGCTCCTTTGTTGCTAATTGAGTTTAAAATCAATTTGTATTTTTCACGCTGGAATTTGTTCGAGTGTTCGAAAGAGAGAGAGGGGAAACTGAAACCGGATGTATTGTGTAATTGCCGTGCAAATTTAATTACAGTGGCAACATCTCGATTGTGGAATTGCGGGTGACCCAACCATCAGGCACGCGCTGCGAACGTGTGCCCCTTGTCACCCACTCCATCACTCCCCCAAATCACCCATTGTGGCACCCATCGGAACACCCACTGCACCACCCACTCCGCCACCCACTCCACCCATCGATCAAGGCCTCAATCAAGTGCTGACAACCCAGTGTTCCCCAGTATCGAGTTACCAGCGGTTGCCCATTTGCATTCCTTAATTGAAATCCGTCCGCGTGGGAAGACATCCCATCTCATCTCAGTTTGAATTCTTCACTTGGTTTAGCTTCTTCACTTTCTAAAAAATAATTAAAATTCCATATAAGTATTACATATTATTTAGCCTTCAGTATATATCCCAAATATTGCATCCTATAAATAGATTATTTTACATAATTTTTAGAATTCGAGTGGGGATTGAACCTCGGTCCTCTTTAGCCAATTTCGGTTAATTGCTTAAGTTTTACGCTTATTGATATCTTACCCATTATCTTTATTTTATCTTAAATTATTTATTTCCTTATGAAAATGTGTGTTTTTTTTTTGTTATACATATTATTTAACTAACATACATATGTTTTCTAAAAAACAAACTCTTTATTGTTAAATATTTTTCAATTGTGTAATATTCTTTTAATGATGACAAATAATTTTCATGAATTGCAGACATATTGCTGGGTTTTGAGTTTGCCATATTTTTATATTCTATATTCCATATTCCTATACCTGTTTTTCCAAGTAATCCCCCTGATAAATGACCCAGGCTTAAAGATCAGAGTCTCGTTTTTTAGCCCTAAACTTTCGAAAGGCAAACACAAACAAGGCATTAAGTGGCATTAGACAAACGCCCTTCTACACATGTTCCGGCGTGGAGATTACGCCGTGTAATTGGCCCCACCCCCTTCTTGGATCGGGGTTGGTTCCTCAATTCTGGTCCCTGGTTCCGGTTTTCGATTCGGGGTGGGCTTTTTTTTTTATCAATTGGTTTGTTTGCCCGGGGACCATAAATAAGGGAATTACTCGAGAAGACCTCTATTTCTAACAGGTGTCTATCGACTCCCGGCTAATCCCCTTAACCCTGGCTCCCCTTCATCTGTATCTGTATCCTGGTTTCCTCATCCTTTTCCCCTCTGTTTATTGCAGTTCGAGGGCCGATTCGAGTCGAAGCGCCTCAACAATTGGGAGTACCCGCGCTTCTCGCCGCCCCGCCCACGAGGACTCAAGAAAAACGCCAAGGTCGTGGCCGCCAACAACGGACACCTGCTGCCTGGAGTTAAAAAGTAAGTAACTAATATTAGCCAATCAAAAAATATATAGTCGATACTTGCCAATTATGGTAAAATATATATGAGGGGAATGTGTGAAATCTCATTTTTAACCGTCAGTTAAAAGTAGATTCGAAATCTTAACTGATTGTGAGTTAATATTAGTTAGTTTAGTTTTTAACCATAAGATATAATTAGAGGTTAGATGATTAGATACGAAATCATAACTTAAATATAACTTTGTATTTTTAACCGTCAGTTAAAAGTAGTTGTTAAAAATTATATTCAAAATCATAGCTAATTGTGAGTTAATACCGCCCAAAAAGAACTTTGAGATACAGGTAGTGGTTAGATGATTGGATTGAAAATCTTAACTTAAATATAACTTTGTATTTTTAACCGTGAGATATAAGTAGTGGTTATAAGGTTAGATTAGAAACCTTAACTAATTGTTAATAATGTTATTATCTTCTGAATAGAACTTTCTTATTTAACCGCCAGTTAAAAGTTAGTTAGTGGGATTCAAAATCTCATTAAATCTTCTCAATATATTAATAATGCCCGAACCCAATCCCCAGGGAGGGCAACTCCTTTGGCCAATATCGCGGGACCTACGAACTTCCCCGGCGGATAACGCGCTGCTTTTGCGCCCACTACGATGCCTGCTTGAGTGGGCGGCACAAGTTCGCCGGCTATCCGCGTGACCTCTGCAGCTGCCAGCGGGAGAACCGCCGGGCACTGGCCTGCGACCAGCGGATGACCTTGGGCCAGGCGGGGGATCCCCACTGGATGCGACAGAGGTGCCAGACGAAGTGCGAGGGCCTCCAGCAGATCAAGGAGCTGCACGAGCGGAGCGAGCGCTGCAAGCGGGCCAAGTGCCAAGTGGTGGTGAGTCGGGATGGGAATTGGAATAGGGGTCACCTATAGAGCTTATACACTATCTTATTAAGTGCACCCAGAAAATAGCCTCCACAGAATCTAAAAATCAAGCTAAAACAGTCCTTAAAAACTTCTATAATTTTTTATTAAATATTTTTTTTTTTTTATTAACAATATATTTTATAAAGTGGTTACTTATATAAACGTTTTAAGAAAATATCATTAAAATAATTCATCATTAATAGTTTTTAAAAAAATAAATAACCGACAGTTAACCCTTTTCTGGGTATATTTAACCAACCAATATTCACCCTGCACTTTTACTTTCACTTTTACTCACACTTTCACCTGCACCTGCACCTGCACTCTTTCCCAGAGCGAAAAGACGGTGTTGATGCCACCGAAGGTATGCAAGGTGGCCTGTGTGGCCACCGAAAAGAGGCGTCGCAAACGCACAGTCACCGCTTTTGCGAGGAGTCGACCGGCGATGCATGCCAACGAATCCACGGCATCCTACGAGGGTCGCCACAAACCGTATCCGCAACCGGAGAAACCAGCGGCAACCTCCACTCCCGGCAAACCGAAGGATAAGCCGAAGGATAAGGGCAAGGACAAGGGAAAGGACAAAGAGAAGGTCAAGGAAAAGGGCAAGGAGAAAGAGAAGATATCGAAGGGCCATTCGTAACACTTTGGTGTCTGTTATATTTTGGCAAATCGGAAGGAAATAAAATTCTCTAAGTATTACCACCGCACTTTCTTCATCATCTAAATACTAACGAAAAAGCTTTCCACTTGACTAACCTCCGGTTAGTTAACCCCTTTGTATGATACAAAACTCATGGCATCATTCTCATCTGCATCTCAACTCATCTCATCCCATCTCCATCTCCATTCGATCCGCTAATGTAACAAGTGAACCTGACCCCGAACCCCCCAACCATGTCGCAAACAGCCCTCCCGGAACTGAGCTACACGCCGGGCGATCTGACGGAGGTGCAGTTCCGGTTGCCCTCGCACCAGCTGCTCCTCGACCAGAAGACCGAGGGCAATCTGCCCGATCTGAGTGGCCTCACCTTGGACACCCGGGACACGCAGCCCATTAAGTACAGGGAGCAGCTAAGTTCAGCGGCTGGTCGTCAGTTTCCCGCCTTGGCAGCGGCCCAGCATCGCTACTCGGATCACTTGGAGCGGGGCAGCGAGCTCAGTTTTGCGGTCTTGGAGCCCGGCAAGGATCTCATCTCCCTGCCGACGGTGGGTGTGGGTGGTGTGCGGAACCTCGACTCTGAGCCGGATTTGATCAGGAAGATGCCGCTGCACTCGATCACCGAGAAGCCGAACGAGCGGTGCCCCTCGCCGGTGGTGCCGGCCTATGCCAACTTCGAGCTGGCCAAGCGGATGCACCAGGACAACCTGGACCACCAGCCGCTGCCCGACTGCGTCGCGGACTTGGCCTTTCGCCGGGCTCAGATCTCCGGCGGACATGCCGGCCTGGCCCTGGACATCGATCCCATTGCCACGGGCGTGGGCGTGAAGACCCACAATGCGGGGCCGACGCACTGCACCAAGATGAAGGTGTTCCGCCCGAAGACGGGCGGTGGCATTGTGCCGCGCGCCCTGGGCCACGGCGATCCCTTTCGGGGCGTCGGCTCGGCGCCGGCCAAGAAAATGGGTCCCATGGATCTGGCCATTTGCTGGGACTTCAAGCCCGCCAATCCCGCCGACGAGCCGCGGCTGGCCAGGCACATAGATGGCTCCAATGACTCCGCCGGACCGGCGGTCTTCACCTGCGTGAAAACGCCGCGCGAGGAGCAATCCTCGGATCTGGGACGCTCCGCTGGGGTCTTCACCAGCACGCTGGGCGAGGCGGATTTCTTTGACAAGGATATCCTGCGGAAGAGGACGGATTTCGGCGGTGCTCGCTTGGATCGCGAGGATCCGTGTGCCTGCGATTATTCACCGCCTTCGAGGCAGCGGGCACGCAGCGTCTCCCGGGACTCGAGTGCCTCGCACTGCAGGCGAGGATCTGGCCCGGGAGGACCAAATGGCGGCGTGAGCTTCGGCAATCTGGCGGAGCTACCCGGGCGCGGAATGCCCGATCGTCTGGCCAAGCAGTATCAATCGTCGCCCCTGCTGGGCGACAAGGCCTATCAGGCGCTGAGGGAGAAGTACTTGGGCCCGGATTCTGGACAGGATGCCTGCCAGCCGATGGACTGCCGGCCAACGGGAGGGCCGCCCTGCAAGCGGGATGTCCTGCTGCGCCGACCGGCTCGTCGACTCTGCCACAAGGTGGCCCCGGCACCGCGCTGCTGTCCGCCGTCCTTCGGAGGAGGACATGGTCATGGTCATGGTCATGGTCATTGCCTGACCAGCAAGGCGGCCTTTCGAGCCGGCGTGCCCAAGCACAATGCCTCCGGGGATTTCGTGGGCATTGAGCCGGGCTGCGGAGGAGGAGGCGGAGGCGGAAGGGTCCTGGTGGTGCCACGCCCCCGCCAGCCGTATGCCAAGAAGAACTACGACATCGAGACCCTGGTGCCGCCGTTCCAGAGCCAGGCCGGCGGAGCCGGACAGGGCGGCTATCCGGAGCACTGGCGACTGGCCAGTGTCTATCAGCACGCCTACAAGCCGATCGACCAGCGAAGGCGACCCCTCCTGCAAACAGTCTACAAGTAGATTTATCCATAAGCCTTCCTAAAAGTGACCATTCCGCTTGTCCGTTAGAGGACTTGTCCGTTCAAGAGAATATGATAAGGAACAAGATAAAGAGGTATTAATAGTTGTCCGTCAGAGATGTTGTCCGTTCAAGAGAATATGAACCAAAGATAAAAAGTATGTTATTGAAAATACAAAAATATAAAATGAACTTTAAATTACTTATTTTAGAGGAGTTGTCCGTTCAAGAGAATATGATAAAGAAGAAGATAAAGAGGTTTTAAAAGTTGTCCGTCAGAGGGGTTTTTCGTTCAAGAGAATATCACCCAAAGATAAAAAGTATGTTATTGAAAATAAAAAAAATATAGAATGAACTTTAAATTACTTATTTTAGAGGAGTTGTCCGCTCAAGAGAATATGACCCAAAAAAATATAAAATTAACTTAAAATTACTTATTTTCTCAGTCCAGAAAAGCCTATTATGAAATAGTTAAGCTAAATATAAGGAAGGAAAATAAATAAAGCTAATTAGAAAACTAAACTTCACCTAGAAAAACAGTTTTGAAGTCAAAAAATAAGTATAAATTACTCGCAACTATTTTCCTTTACTGTTAAAAAACACATGATGTACACAGAAATTAGTTGTATGATTAGCCCACAGAACCATCGGTCCAAGAATAGACTAAGGTAATTTACAGAAGTTTATCCTGGAAATGGAATTACCCCTTTTTTCGACATTGTTCCCTTCATATTAGTAGAAAATCACAACAGGTTCATGTAAAAAACAAATGTTATATATTATAAAAAGCATATAAAAAAGATATAGACAAACATACATATATGAATAAACGTGCAAACATCAAGTACTTAAAATTCTAAACATTGTGTGAATAAATTTTTTTAGGGAGTTCCCTTGAACGTTCAAAAAAAAGTGCATTAAAACTAGTTGAAAAACTCTCCATCTTTAAAAATTGATAAGATGAATATGGTTTTCAGATGAAAATACATAGGTTTCCTTTCGGTTTGCTGGTTTTGTGTGACAATCTTTGGGTGCATTTAAAAAACTTAACTAGGTGCTTAAAAAATCGTTTTCAAAGAAGTTAAAAGCCCGATGGAGTGGGTCGATTTTGAAGGGAAACAAAAAAATATTGGGTTTGAAATAGTTTAAATTAACATATTAATTTTTGTCAAGGTTTTAACAGAACTTCAGAGCTCTATAGATGTTGTATGATGTTCGTGCCCCTAAAATGTTTAAAATTAATTTCAAAAAATCCCCCAAAATCGACCCAATCCGATCCTTGGATCCCTGGACCCACCACCACCTCCTCACTTGGCGGTGGCGTAGGCATCGTGGCTCTTGTGGAACACATGACGCAGCACGTCCCGCGTGGACCGCCGGATGCTGTTCCTCAGCGAGTGCTTCTTCTCGTTGGTCAGCTGCTCGATGGTCATGTACTCCGTTTGGGCGACACTCGAGCGGAGCTTCATGGTCCGCTCGCTGGTGTCGATGATCGAGATGTCGGCGGGCAGTGGCTCCGCATCTTCGGCCGGGATCTTCTGGGGCCTCCGTCGCAGGCTGTGCCGAATGCTAGTGAGGATGTTGTGATGGTGATGATGAGGTGCCTCCTTGTCCTCGGATTTCTCGGATTTCTCAGGAGATGTATGATGATGAGTGGGCTGCATCAGCCGGCGAATGGACTTCCTGATCATGCCCTTCATCCCACCACTGGGCTTCACCTCGGCCGATTTGGAGGACTTGCTGGAGGCGATGGAATGCAGGGACTCCTTGCTGGCCGCCGCTGCAGGTCTGTAGGCTCGAACGAAGCGCGCGGGAGCCTTGAAGTCCAGGTCGTCGGGCTCCTCCTCGTCCTCGGAATCCTCGGAGGCGTAGGCCACATCGAGGTTCCGCTGCTCCAGGAGCTCCTCCTCCTCCTCCTGCAGCTTCTCCCTCTCCAGCAGCTTGACCCTCTCCTGCAGCTTCTCCCTCAGCTGCTCGTGCAGCTTCTCTTGCAGTTTCTCCCGCTCCAAGTGCTTCTCCCTCTCCATTAGCTTCTCTGCCTCCGCATCCTTCTCCTCCTCCTCCTGCTCCTGCTCCTCCTGCGCCTCGGTGATCTCGGTGAGAGTGCGTCTGCGGGTGCAAACCAGTCGCCTCTCCAGCTGGTCCACCTCCTGCACTAGCAGCTCCTGCGAATCCGTCTCCATGACCAGCGAGACCTTGGTGCTCTTGGGCAGCTGTTCCACCTCCAGAACGCCATTCTTGCGCAACTTGGCCTCGTTGATGCTGTTCTCCAGCTCCAGCTGATAACGATCCAGCTCCTTGCCAATGTCCATCGAGGAGGACTCCTCGCTGATGGCGCCCAGCGATCTCTTGGGCGCCGGAACAGGTGAGAAGACCAGCTTCTCGGCGAGCAGCTTGCTGGGCGTCAACTGGGCCAGCGACATGCCGTGGAAATCGATGCGGCAGCCCAGAGTGGGGGTGAACGGCAGGCCGATCTTCAGGCTGGTGGGCAGCGGCTCCTCCTCCTCCTCCGCATCCCTCTCGGCCAGCGCCGGATTGGCCACGCCCGTGGGATTGCAGGCCGCCTCCGAGGCCTCGCTGGGCCGGTGGATCTCGAAGGGATTCAGCGAGGCGGGTGCATCGCTGCCCCGCAAATTCAGGCCGGGATTAACGAAGCCCTTGGCCGGCGCCGCTGCCAGGCGGATCACCTGGAAAACGAATAGAGGAGTTTAGTGCATTTCGAAGTGGAGGAGGTATTTTACATCAAGTTTTTCTAAGTGAATTTCTACAGTTTCTTAAAAATACTCATTTGATATAATACCAAAATAAATAAATTTAATTTCTAAAATTTCTTAAAATACTCATTTGATGTGATACAAAAATAAATAAATTTAATTTGTTAAAATGAGTTCTATAAAATATTTAGTAATATATTTAAATTAGCCTTTTCAAATTCGAAACAGAAATATTTTTCATCTTTACAAATACATTGTGGTTTCAATTTAAAAAAAAAAGTATTAATAAACATAAATTATTAGCTTTCTGTTTCACTTTAAATTAAAACATTTATAATAGATATAAATTATAATTTATAAATTTTTTATAAAAATTATTTTTTAAATGTAATAAAATAAATAGTATACAAACAAAATGATGTTTAGTAAGGAAAATAAACAGACAAATTGCAATCAAAATGATATTTAATTATTATGATTACAAAATTATGTTTTAAATGTTATAAAAAAAATAGTATACAAACAAATTGATGTTTAATAAGGAAAATATACAGTCAAATTCCATTTAAGTTGCTATTTTATGCATTAATAATAAACTATATTATATACAAGGTATTATTTAAAAAGTTATAAATAACTTAACTGTACCCCAACTAAGGTGAAAAGTACACCCACCTCGATCGCGACTAACTAACCACTTAAAAACTCACCTCGTAGGGATTGAACTGCTTCTCGGGCAGCTCCAAGTTCAGGCCAGGATTCTCGAAGCAGGCCAGATGGTCGCGCTTCTTCTTCTTGGGCGGCTGGCGCAGGACCTCGAAGGGATTCGTCGGCAGCTGCTCCTGGGCCAGATCGGCAATGGACTTGACCTCCAGGCCGGGAAAGGGATTCGGATTTGGATTCGGATTCCGATTCGGGTGGCTGTTCTCCTTGGACTTCTCCAAGCGACGGCGACCAATCATCAGTTTCTTGGGAGTGGAACTAAATGCGGCATTTGTGAAGCAGGATTCCGCTGCCGCGACAGCTGCATCCTGTGCGTCCTTTTCCAGGGGTTGTTGTTGTGCCCCCGGGGGCGGGGCGGCATTCCCCTTTAGCGTCTCCCTTTTGCGCTTGCGCGGCGTCTCGGTGAAAGCCAAGGCGGCTATGCTCTTCGTTTCCAACATGCTCCTGCGTCACTTTGTTTATCTTATTAGTTTAGTTAGCTCCTTTACACGGGACTAAATCGAATTAACACGCAGCGAACAGCAATTATAAACAACCGAAGACGACACAGAATGCCATTTTGAAAATCCTTCAGGCAGCTGGAACCGATTGCGCCGTTAGCCAACACTGGCAGCGAACCGGTTCAGCAAGGGATGGCACGCCGTGTCATCGATAGTTGCTGTTAAAAGGGGCTATGTTAATATTATGTTAAATGCATTTCTTAACTATTAAGTTCATTTATTTAGTTTCATTTATTTTTATTTCACATGTGCGATTTATTTTACATATATAAATAACTAAATTGAAAATTCACCTTTTATTTTTTTAAACGTAAAGAATATTGAATGAGTAAAGAACGCACATTTATATTTATATACTTTTACAGAGCTTGGTAATTGAACCGCCCAACTATCGCACAAGCTGTCATCCCCAAATGTACAGACTACCTGCTATCGATTAACGATAGACCGCGTACCAATTGCATCTGCTGTCCGATAATTTAATTTTTCAAAAACACTGAATATTCTTTAAAATAATGGAGGATTTCTATAGGAAAGTGCGCCATTAGATTGAAGGAGGAAAGTGCATTTTGTAGTGGAAAATTAGTTGCTTGATACCATTTGGCGGGAGGTCTGATTGAATACAGAAAACATAAACAATTGCGCTTTACAAGAAAACACAGCTTCGAAAACTGCCATAAAACCAGGTGATAAACTGGCTAATCCTTGGGAACCGCCAGTGGAGGTGCAGTAGAGTCGAGATGTCCAGCTCCCGGCATCGCAGGCCGGCGAAATCCTCTCGCGTTCCGCCGCAGGCGAGGGAATATATCACGGAATTGGCCGAGGATCGGGAACTGGAGCGATTCATGGCCTTCTCCTCGACGGCGAGCAGTGGCGCCAGCGGGAGCACCCACAGTTGCCCCCTGGCCAGCGTCCTAGGGCGTCGCAGGGAGTGTCCAGCGGCGGAGGAGCAGCTCCTGCAGCTGCCAGTTTCACCGGCTACGAGTAAACCCAATCCCGCCCAGCCGAGCACAGCAAAAACCCCAGGAAGCCGGGAGAAAACCGATGAGTACACCATTATACCCATTCTAATGTCCAGCAGTCCCAGTCGTCGTCCCGTGGCCGCCACTCAGACCATGTCCCAATCCGTGGAGGATCTGCGCACGCCCACCAAGCCGCCTAAAGAGATGCAGACGAAGAAAACCCAGACACCCGAGTCGGCTCTCAAGTCGCACAAGCGCCTGGAATGGGATCCGGCGGCCGATGTGGGCTACTACAAGCGGGCGGTGTCCACCAGCAACATCAGCACCCTGGAGCGCTCCGTGCTGGAGGAGTGCGGCTGGCGTCAGCCCATCCAGCAGCGATCCGAGACGGATTTGGATAGGCTGCAGCGCCAGGAGGCGGAGGAGCCGTCGCCCATGCCGGATAAACCGGCGCCACCACTGGCTTCGAGTACGTTTGTCAATCGCAGCGATCGCGGGAAGCCCTCGAGCTCTAGAATGGGTTCCCTAGGGAGTTCCCTGAGCTCCAGGAGGGAGGATTCCGAAGAGATTAACCACAGCAGGTCCAGGAAGGAGGATTCCTCGGCTAGTTCTCTCCCAAAAGATTCAAGGAAGGAGTCTGCGAGGGGCAGTTCCTCGAAAGAGGTTAGCCAAGGCATTTCCACGAAGGTAGACTCGCTCGGCAGCTCCAGGAAAGAGGAACCAAGACTCAGCTCACGGGTACAGGATCCTCAGGTCAGTTCCCGCCGAGCATCGGTGGTTGGCTCGCAAAGGGAGTCGCTGGGCAGCTACAGAAGAGACGACTCGCGGCTCAACTCGCAGAACAGCTCGAGAATAGGATCACAAATGAGCTCCAGAGTGGAGCATTCCCGCGCCAGTTCCAGGCGAGAATCCCAGGCCACCTCGCTGTATGGCAGTTCGGCGGCCAGTAGCTTCGATTACCACATCAACATGGAGCAGCAGCAGAGGGAAAATGAGTCAAAGAGGGAGCCAAAGAGGAAGGAGCATGATAGAGAACCAAAGCAGCTGGCCAAGGAGCAGAGGAAAGCTGAGCAGCGGGAAAAGGAGCGCGAGCAGGAGCGCCAGTACACGGCGGCCCAGTTCGAGAGGATCCTGGGCAGTCGGCGGCACGAGAACAAGGAGAATCAGCAGCCGCAGAAAGCAGCTGAACCCGCTGAACCCACATCCTCCACATCCTCGGTGGCAATGGGATCGGGTTCGGGGCCCCGGGGAGAACTGGATCTGGGCATCGATTTGCTGTGCTCCCTGGTGAAAACCCGCAGCCTCAGCCAGGGACAGAAGAAGAAGCTTGTGCGGGACATAGCCAGGCGCATTTCCTGCCTGGACTTGGCCGAATCCGGCAGCAGTTTGCGCTCCCTGCGGAGCAATCAGTCCAGCAACACGAGGGAACAGCCGAAGGGTGAGCAAATCCATCAAGCTACCGTAATTTTTACTCACTCTTGACCCTTTTTGCAGACCCACTTCCTGTGCAGCGGCAGGATATGGCCACGAATACGTCGGAAATTGGGGAGCCCGTCACTCTGCCCGTTCCCGCTCCTCGAAAGCTGGCAATCACCGCATCTATACCCTCGCCACTGCCCACCAGCTTCTCGAACAGCGGCTCAACGAGCGCCTCGCACGAGGTGATCACCCAAAAGGCCAACGATGCCGCCTCCACGGATGCCGATGGCGATCTGCAGGAGTGGCTGAATCCCATGACCCAGAGCGAAATAGAGTACGAGCAGCGGCTGAAGGGAGGCGCCGAATCGGAGCGGCGGAACCAGCTCAACTGGATCGACACGGAGATTCGACGGCTGCAGGCGCTGCAGAAACTTCTGGGCGATACCACCACTCAAGCCGCTTTGCCGCGCAGTTCGGTGCAGATCGAGACGGACAAGGGATCGCAGTGCTCCAGCGATAAGCTGCTGTCGGCGGTGCCTTCGGTGCAGATGCCGGATTCCGAGAGAAGAACTCCGCAGCCCCCCGTAAGAGTAGAATCAGTGGGAACAAAGGAGCTGCCACCACCACCGCCCCATCTCGACCAGCAGAAGCCGCAGAGCCGCAAGAAGATGGCCACGCCAGTGCTCCAATCGCGTAGCTCCACCAGCGGCGGTGGCCGCAGCGAGAGCGTCTGTTCCTTTGTCCAGCAAAGGCAGCGGCAGTTCCGCGAGCATTACCAAAACCAGCAGCAGCAGCAGCAGTTGCTGTTGCTCCAGCAGCAGCAGCTCCACCAGCAGCAGCAGCAACAGAAACGGCAGCACAGCTCGGTGAGTTAGAAACAAAGGACACAATCCTTTTTCCTCTTACTCATGCCCTCTCTTTCCTTTTCAGGAGCAGCAGCAATACATGCAGATGCAGTACGCCCAGGCGGCGGGCAGTGCCTATGCCACGCCCCATTTGAGCGGCAGTGCCGGCTACAGCTGTGCGGATAACGAGGGGGCAGCCATCTACTATCAAGTGGTCAACTCCCAGGGAGCCTCTAGCTACGTGCAGGCAGCCATGGTGGTCGCAGGGACATCGCCAAACGAAGGAGCAGCGGCAGCGGGAGGAGGAACCAGCAGAACCACCACCACCACCAGTTCCTCGTCCTCGATGATGTGCATCAGTTCGGACATATCCATACCCATGGGCATGGTGAATACGTGTGAGACGACCACCACGACCACCACGCATCAGTACGACGATGTGGCCTGCCAGCGGGTGCGGAGGTTGCCCAAGGAGGCGAGGCGGCAACCGGAGTGCATGCAGCGACAGACGCTGCAAGTGCGTCCCCAGGCCATCGCCTACGTCATCCAGTTCACCGCGTCGGGCGGCAGTGAGGTGCTGCCCCAGACGCGCTCCCTGCAGGATCAACTGCAGCTGGCCCGTCCCGAGTTCTGTGCCAAGTCCAAGCAACGCAAGGCCATCCTCAATCAGATGCAGATGATCCGGAATGTGCGGCGCCGCGAGATGGACAATCTGCTGGGCGAGAATACCAGTTTGGAGACGCTGGACAGGCGACTGCAGCAGCTGCCGCCGCCTGCCACTTGTAAGTTGCTATAATAAGCAAACTTGTAGTAAAGAAAGTAACCCTATTTATTCTCTGACAGCTCGTTTAAGGGTATTTACCACCAGGGAAATGAAGGCCATGACCACCAAACGTTGTCAAAGTTTGCCGGAAGTGTTGGCCGCTCAGAATCGCGAAAAGGAGGAGCGAAGGCGTCGCTGCAATCGCCTGATGCGGGATGTCTTTAATAAGGCAAGAAATTCCCTGCCTTTCCATTTATTTATATTATTTTATTAATCCTATATCCCTTTAGCGCCTTCAAAGTCGCGTGGCCAATGGACAACTCTCGCTAAATCACAGCAGGACAATCATCTAGCAAAGGTGGAAATACGAAATACCCCAGTACACAGCCCACCAGTTTCGTTTCTTTTTTTGTGCCATTGTTAGGCTTTCTATTTTTAAAACTCTACAAATCGTTTACACTTGTTGAACCGCGAAATAAGGAATGCTTTAGTTTATAGGAAACGTTGAAATCGAATATAGGCTATAGGCTAGTTAACTACAAACATAAATTTCTATGTTTATACTGTACAACCAGCATTTAACTAAATTTGTAATGTTTTTAAATTAAATAAATTTATCAACACGGATTCGATGAACTTGTTATTAAATGAATTGAAATAAGTAGTTATACCCATTACTCATGGAGTAAAAGGGTATATTGTATTCGTGCAAAAGCACGTAACAGGTAGAAGGAAGCGTTTCGCTTTTAGGGGGTACAAAATTCGGGATTTTAGTTTTTTAGCGAAAAAACGGGTTTGGTTTTTTTTTGGAAATTCACGATTTCAGTTTTTGACAAAAATTGGAATTTTTTCTTTTGGTTTTTTGCTGTAACTTGGCCAAAAATGGTCCTACACCAAAAATTCATACTGTTTTGAACAGATAACAAAATTTGCTATAAATCCATAAAACTTTCCGTGTAATTTTTTGAAAAATAAAATTTTCGCCAATTTTTAATTTTTTTATAAGGGGGTACCCCATGATTTTTTGCGAAAAATTAAAAATGAATAAATTGTCAAGGTTTAAATGCCAATCGTTAGGAAATTTAATAACGAGTTCAGAAAGGTATGACAATCCATACTTTGAATCAGTATTTGCTTTGTTATAGCGAAAAAACTGCAACGTTTTAGCGAAAAAACGGGTTTGGTTTTTTTTTGGAAATTCACGATTTCAGTTTTTGACAAAAATTGGAATTTTTTCTTTTGGTTTTTTGCTGTAACTTGGCCAAAAATGGTCCTACACCAAAAATTCATACTGTTTTGAACAGATAACAAAATTTGCTATAAATCCATAAAACTTTCCGTGTAATTTTGGAAAAATAAAATTTTTGCCAATTTTTAATTTTTTTATAAGGGGGTACCCCATGATTTTTTGCGAAAAATTAAAAATGAATAAATTGTCAAGGTTTAAATGCCAATCGTTAGGAAATTTAATAACGAGTTCAGAAAGGTATGACAATCCATACTTTGAATCAGTATTTGCTTTGTTATAGCGAAAAAACTGCAACGTTTTAGCGAAAAAACGGGTTTGGTTTTTTTTTGGAAATTCGCAATTTCAGTTTTTGACAAAAATTGGAATTTTTCTTTTGGTTTTTTTGCTGTAACTTGGCCAAAAATGGTCCTACACCAAAAATTCATACTGTTTTGAACAGATAACAAAATTTGCTATAAATCCATAAAACTTTCCGTGTAATTTTGGAAAAATAAAATTTTTGCCAATTTTTAATTTTTTTATAAGGGGGGTACCCCATGATTTTTTGCGAAAAATTAAAAATGAATAAATTGTCAAGGTTTAAATGCCAATCGTTAGGAAATTTAATAACGAGTTCAGAAAGGTATGACAATCCATACTTTGAATCAGTATTTGCTTTGTTATAGCGAAAAAACTGCAACGTTTTAGCGAAAAAACGGGTTTGGTTTTTTTTGGAAATTCGCGATTTCAGTTTTTGACAAAAATTGGAATTTTTTCTTTTGGTTTTTTGCTGTAACTTGGCCAAAAATGGTCCTACACCAAAAATTCATACTGTTTTGAACAGATAACAAAATTTGCTATAAATCCATAAAACTTTCCGTGTAATTTTGGAAAAATAAAATTTTCGCCAATTTTTAATTTTTTTATAAGGGGGTACCCCATGATTTTTTGCGAAAAATTAAAAATGAATAAATTGTCAAGGTTTAAATGCCAATCGTTAGGAAATTTAATAACGAGTTCAGAAAGGTATGACAATCCATACTTTGAATCAGTATTTGCTTTGTTATAGCGAAAAAACAGCAACGTTTTAGCGAAAAAACGGGTTTGGTTTTTTTTGGAAATTCGCGATTTCAGTTTTTGACAAAAATTGGAATTTTTTCTTTTGGTTTTTTTGCTGTAACTTGGCCAAAAATGGTCCTACACCAAAAATTCATACTGTTTTGAACAGATAACAAAATTTGCTATAAATCCATAAAACTTTCCGTGTAATTTTGGAAAAATAAAATTTTCGCCAATTTTTAATTTTTTTATAAGGGGGGTACCCCATGATTTTTTGCGAAAAATTAAAAATGAATAAATTGTCAAGGTTTAAATGCCAATCGTTAGGAAATTTAATAACGAGTTCAGAAAGGTATGACAATCCATACTTTGAATCAGTATTTGCTTTGTTATAGCGAAAAAACTGCAACGTTTTAGCGAAAAAACGGGTTTGGTTTTTTTTGGAAATTCGCGATTTCAGTTTTTGACAAAAATTGGAATTTTTTCTTTTGGTTTTTTGCTGTAACTTGGCCAAAAATGGTCCTACACCAAAAATTCATACTGTTTTGAACAGATAACAAAATTTGCTATAAATCCATAAAACTTTCCGTGTAATTTTGGAAAAATAAAATTTTCGCCAATTTTTAATTTTTTTATAAGGGGGTACCCCATGATTTTTTGCGAAAAATTAAAAATGAATAAATTGTCAAGGTTTAAATGCCAATCGTTAGGAAATTTAATAACGAGTTCAGAAAGGTATGACAATCCATACTTTGAATCAGTATTTGCTTTGTTATAGCGAAAAAACTGCAACGTTTTAGCGAAAAAACGGGTTTGTGACAATCCATACTTTGAATCAGTATTTGCTTTGTTATAGCGAAAAAACTGCAACGTTTTAGCGAAAAAACGGGTTTGGTTTTTTTTTGGAAATTCGCAATTTCAGTTTTTGACAAAAATTGGAATTTTTCTTTTGGTTTTTTTGCTGTAACTTGGCCAAAAATGGTCCTACACCAAAAATTCATACTGTTTTGAACAGATAACAAAATTTGCTATAAATCCATAAAACTTTCCGTGTAATTTTGGAAAAATAAAATTTTTGCCAATTTTTAATTTTTTTATAAGGGGGTACCCCATGATTTTTTGCGAAAAATTAAAAATGAATAAATTGTCAAGGTTTAAATGCCAATCGTTAGGAAATTTAATAACGAGTTCAGAAAGGTATGACAATCCATACTTTGAATCAGTATTTGCTTTGTTATAGCGAAAAAACTGCAACGTTTTAGCGAAAAAACGGGTTTGGTTTTTTTTGGAAATTCGCGATTTCAGTTTTTGACAAAAATTGGAATTTTTCTTTTGGTTTTTTTGCTGTAACTTGGCCAAAAATGGTCCTACACCAAAAATTCATACTGTTTTGAACAGATAACAAAATTTGCTATAAATCCATAAAACTTTCCGTGTAATTTTGGAAAAATAAAATTTTTGCCAATTTTTAATTTTTTTATAAGGGGGTACCCCATGATTTTTTGCGAAAAATTAAAAATGAATAAATTGTCAAGGTTTAAATGCCAATCGTTAGGAAATTTAATAACGAGTTCAGAAAGGTATGACAATCCATACTTTGAATCAGTATTTGCTTTGTTATAGCGAAAAAACAGCAACGTTTTAGCGAAAAAACGGGTTTGGTTTTTTTTTGGAAATTCGCGATTTCAGTTTTTGACAAAAATTGGAATTTTTTCTTTTGGTTTTTCTGCTGTAACTTGGCCAAAAATGGTCCTACACCAAAAATTCATACTGTTTTGAACAGATAACAAAATTTGCTATAAATCCATAAAACTTTCCGTGTAATTTTGGAAAAATAAAATTTTCGCCAATTTTTAATTTTTTTATAAGGGGGTACCCCATGATTTTTTGCGAAAAATTAAAAATGAATAAATTGTCAAGGTTTAAATGCCAATCGTTAGGAAATTTAATAACGAGTTCAGAAAGGTATGACAATCCATACTTTGAATCAGTATTTGCTTTGTTATAGCGAAAAAACAGCAACGTTTTAGCGAAAAAACGGGTTTGGTTTTTTTTTGGAAATTCGCGATTTCAGTTTTTGACAAAAATTGGAATTTTTTCTTTTGGTTTTTCTGCTGTAACTTGGCCAAAAATGGTCCTACACCAAAAATTCATACTGTTTTGAACAGATAACAAAATTTGCTATAAATCCATAAAACTTTCCGTGTAATTTTGGAAAAATAAAATTTTCGCCAATTTTTAATTTTTTTATAAGGGGGTACCCCATGATTTTTTGCGAAAAATTAAAAATGAATAAATTGTCAAGGTTTAAATGCCAATCGTTAGGAAATTTAATAACGAGTTCAGAAAGGTATGACAATCCATACTTTGAATCAGTATTTGCTTTGTTATAGCGAAAAAACTCCAACGTTTTAGCGAAAAAACGGGTTTGGTTTTTTTTTGGAAATTCGCGATTTCAGTTTTTGACAAAAATTGGAATTTTTTTCTTTTGGTTTTTTGCTGTAACTTGGCCAAAAATGGTCCTACACCAAAAATTCATACTGTTTTGAACAGATAACAAAATTTGCTATAAATCCATAAAACTTTCCGTGTAATTTTGGAAAAATAAAATTTTCGCCAATTTTTAATTTTTTTATAAGGGGGTACCCCATGATTTTTTGCGAAAAATTAAAAATGAATAAATTGTCAAGGTTTAAATGCCAATCGTTAGGAAATTTAATAACGAGTTCAGAAAGGTATGACAATCCATACTTTGAATCAGTATTTGCTTTGTTATAGCGAAAAAACTGCAACGTTTTAGCGAAAAAACGGGTTTGGTTTTTTTTGGAAATTCGCGATTTCAGTTTTTGACAAAAATTGGAATTTTTCTTTTGGTTTTTTTGCTGTAACTTGGCCAAAAATGGTCCTACACCAAAAATTCATACTGTTTTGAACAGATAACAAAATTTGCTATAAATCCATAAAACTTTCCGTGTAATTTTGGAAAAATAAAATTTTTGCCAATTTTTAATTTTTTTATAAGGGGGTACCCCATGATTTTTTGCGAAAAATTAAAAATGAATAAATTGTCAAGGTTTAAATGCCAATCGTTAGGAAATTTAATAACGAGTTCAGAAAGGTATGACAATCCATACTTTGAATCAGTATTTGCTTTGTTATAGCGAAAAAACTGCAACGTTTTAGCGAAAAAACGGGTTTGGTTTTTTTTTGGAAATTCGCGATTTCAGTTTTTGACAAAAATTGGAATTTTTT